TCCTCCAAGCCGTCTTCACGGCGGTGCCCTCCTTACGAAAGGCGCATTTTCGCCTATCAAGTGTCGTTCTCCTCGACATGCTCCTCCGCGGCTCGACAACGCTCCCCATACTGGCGAGCTACGTCGCCGACATCTTCGAGCTGTGCGACACAACCCCACCCCTACTACCCCAAGACAACGCGCCCGAACAGGACGTGGCTGGGAGGGCCTGACATAGTCGGGCGAATTCCGAATGCCTTCCGGATGGCAACCGGTGGCGCCATACATTGGCACAAGGTGTGTGCTTCCGTTCACGTCTATCATTAGACTGGCGCAGGAGCGCCGCGGACAGGACTGCGAGTGGTTGCCTTGTTGGGGCGCCGCCGGTCCCGATCACCTGTGACCTACCCCCGGAGTCTAAACCCTTGCTGACTGCATCTTTTGTTAGTTGTTGCTCTGGGTTGCGTGTGCGTGTCGAGACGCTGTCTGTGTCTGCAGCAGTGGCTCTCCTGGCCGAGGTTTCCCGCGAGCTACGCGGCTTTCCCCTCCCATCATGCGAGGTTTACGCACGCAACCTGCCGATGTGCCGCAGAGCGACTAGGACTACAGAAGATGTGAACAGCGTGTGGGTATAGGCTACGACGGGGTCAAATGTATTGCGCTCTCGGGGCTGTCTATGTTGGATTCGAGGTCTACGAGTTACGTATTATTACCTAGTTTAGGGCCGGTTTAGCGTAAAACGACGTCAATAGATCAAACCCCTTAGCTCTCTCCTGCCTCTCTGGCGGCGGAGGCGGCCTGCGCGACCGCGTACGAGTCTCCGGCCGTCGCACGCGTCCTATGCTGTTCCCTTACTTAGCTCCCGCCATCTCCCGTCCTTCCTCCTCTTCGCCTCCTCGGCCGTATGCCCGCTGCTCGCCTCCTCAGCTGTCTGCCTTGACGCAGCGCAGGTTGCATGAGACACATCTAGCTGCTATCCGAGCGCGCACACGTCCGGCCATCACCCTATAACTGCTCTCTTTGTCCGCGTCCGTGCCCCCCTCTTCGTTCTCTCCCTGGCGTCCGCATGGTGGACTGGCACGACCCCTCGGTCATCGCCTTCTGTTCCTTCCTCTATGCTCAGAATGCTGTTTTCCTCCTGGGCTTCTTCGGGTCCGTTCTCCTCGCAAGCCCCTGTCCGGAGATGCGCTGAGTCGCCGTGCTAATCTCGCAGGAACCACTTCATCACGCGCATGACGATCGAGTGGTCTCTTCTCACTCGCAAGCGCCGATTTAGTCCTGCTCTGGTATGTCTCCCATACCACTCGTACGAATGCTCGCCGATACTCCATCTCTCAGATTCCATACCTCTTTGGCCGTTATGCCATCCTCACTACACTGCTATTTTTGTGGGTAACAGCACCCGTCTATTTCCGCCATCTTACGAATCTGTGTTGTCAGCGTCATATCGAACCGTTTCAAGCATAAAATCTCGTGCGATAGTATGTTTTGTTACATTTGCCCTGCGCGTTCCGATCATGTACTGAGCCACGGCTTTGTAGTCGCGTACAAAATTCTGGCGGTAGGCGCACTCGTTGTATGCTAATTACTGTGTAGCGAGCGCTCACCCTCCCTAGGTTCTAGGAAGCGCTGCCTCTTTCTGTTCGACGCTTAACCTGGGTATACGGAGGTGTGTCGGCCAGACATACAGTCCAAGGGTCGTAATGCAAGCCTGATATCTCGCGAATTCACAGTTATGTCATTTGGCGCGACATGAACAAGATTGTCGTGTGGGTGCTGTCCGCTGCATGTGTCGGGCACGCCGTGCTTGTCGCCGTCCGTGAGTTCTCGGCCGTCTGTTCAACCACGCTGTATCACCTAAGCAAATGCCTGCGCCATGCAGAGGGCGCACAAAGTGTGACCTCCGGATGGGATCCCGTCGTGGAGTCTTGCGTTGTCGTTCGCTCCAGCAACGTCACGATGTTCATCTTTTACATGTACAGTCAGTCCGCTTTTCCCGCCCCCGGTGACCCGCAATGCTGACGTCAGGACGCAGCGATTCTAATGGACCTCGCGATCCTCGTGCTCACGATCTGTGGGCTCTGGCGCAAGGCCGCGCTGAAGAGCATGATTGGTACCACGCTCTCGGAGCAGTGCCTATGGTACTGTGCGGCAACGTTCCTCGTCAACATTCCCGCTGCGGTGTGTGTCTAGCTTTATTCATGCGTGTCCTCAAGGGTTGGCACTCATCGCAGACGCAGGTGTTTCCGATCATGAATTTGAACGGTGGGTCTGCAACAACTATGTCTATACCGAGAGCAGGCAGGAATTGACGCCGTTGGTGTGGCCGCGTAGTTATTATGAACGTCATTGCTTCCATGCCAGGTAGGATCTTCTCACCTCGAATCATGAAGAGACGTGCTTACCTCACCCTACTCGTCCGAAGCGACCACCGTTAGGTACGAGCCTATCATCATGCACGTTCTATGTTGCATTCACCTCCAATAAACGACTAGCGTAATCATGTCCTCTGCCGCAGTACTCTCTTTGGAGCCAGAAGAATACTACGCCTCCGCCCCGTACGTCTTGAGTTCCCGCCCCTTACTCTACCAGTGTCTGACCCCCACCCGTACCCGTGCTGCAGCCGGAGCGCGATGCGTGAACGCGAGCAGGGCAGCACGCTAGGCATCGCCGTGCACACCGGCACGCGCTCGCGTTCGCACCGCGTTGCGCTCACCACGAACATCGTGCTTGAGTCGTGAGTTGTCATGCCCAGTACTCGCCGCTGACCGTCGATCGCTGACCGTGTGGCGCAGACAAGGGAATTCCCTCGACACGCGCAAGAGCGCACAGACGGAGGTCGCCACAGTCGTATAGCGACATCTCGCGCAACTCGCTGCGCGTCGCGGTCATCCATCGCAGTATATAAATGGGAGTGATGCAGCGGGTCCTTCTCGAACCGCCGGGGAACCGCACCGTAGGTATTGACAACCGCTTTCGTGTAGCCTGGACACCTGCACTTCGCGCACCCATCCCGCCCATCGTATCCCTTACAGCGTTACCCTATCCCCCTCACTACTACCCCTTCACATTCCTCGGATCACACTGGTAGACTGGTGTCAATGGACTTGCTGCTGTATCTAATAGGTCATTTACTTCACATGTACATATCGCACTTCGCCTTGGTATGCACCACATCGTATTTATACGACCACTACTCACACAAAAGACGGACATCTAGCTAGACGCCTCCCTCAAATGCGCCCGTGCGACATCATCTCTCACTGCACATGACTGCGGGAAAATGAGCGGTAGCATTAATGACCACTGAATTCGACGTGCTGTGGCCTTCAAAGCGCAAGACAGCCGCGGCGGTACAACAGTACATATATAACACACCTTCAATCGTGAGCACCTCACCTCCATTCCAGAACCGATAACGCCACTAATTGCCGAGCAGATCCACAATCCACGCAAGCCATGCACCAGTCCGCGGAGATTTCTGTCATCCTCTCGACGCCGTCTGCGAAGACGCTATGCCACTGGGCCATCTACCTGCGCATCACCCACGGCCACGACGTCCAGCACATCCTCTACCAGGCCGCCGGTAACGCAGAGGAGCAGTTCGTGCTCGACGTCCGCCAGGAGGACCCGAAGGCGCTGGACACGTTCGAGCGGCAGATCGACGTCTGCATCATCGACGGCGCGGCGGACGTGACGGAGGCGAGGGAGGTGGTGGAGGGGCAGCCGATGCAGAACGGGATCTCCACCTGGAGCTGCCAGGACTGGGTCGTGGACACGCTCGAGGCGCTGCACGATGCTAGGCTAGTGGACGATTATGAGTATGGGGCTGCGATGACGACGCTTGAGGATCTGTACATCAAGTGAGGGTCTTCCGAGCTTGTACGATTTTGTCCGTTGCCTACAAAACGTGGGGCACGGATCATTTGCAATAGCGACATTCGCTGCTCACATTCGTCGGGACAGTATCGATACCGCACACCTAAACGGCCCTCCTGGCTAGCACCCGCTCTTCCAGACGCTTGTGCAACAAGTATTGCGCTCGCGCGACCTCCATCAGCACCCCCCACGCCTGGCCCTCTGCCGCCGTTCCCGGGCTGTCGAACTTCGGACTCCCGCACACGTCGCGCACGAACCCCCAGCGGTCCGTCATGCCCACCGCCGCCTCGCGCAGCACGCCCGCGCGTCGCACCCACTCCTCCCCCTCGCCAGGCTCCGGACCCGGCAGCCCGAGCATGCGGAAGCGCGAACTGTACGCGTGCAGGTCGGCGAGCCTGTAGAGCGTGTACGCGAGCATCTGCGCGAGGTTCGTCTCCGGGAATGCGTCGGGGTCCCCGAGGACGTTCGGGAACAGCCCAGATGGGAGGGCGTATGGGAGACACGCGCGGAGCGTGCGCAGGAGGATGTCGTAGACACGCTGGAGGAGCGGAACGAGCTCGTCGTCCCCTGTGGGGTTGAGACCGAGCGCGCGAAGATCGACGTGTGGCGCGTGCATAAGGGTCGTGTTATACACAAGCGTGGAGAGGACGCGGACGATCCCGCAGCAGACCCAACCGTTCCCGACGCCCCAGAACGCGACGCGTTTGAACGTGCGGGACTCGAGGTCGTGGATGTGCGACCATTCCCCCGCAGGGGACTGCAGCACGTCTGCGGCGAGAATGATCTGCTGCAGAGCCATATTGAGCAGCGCGCGGGCGGTGTCCGGTTTCGGACACTCCGCAGAGAGCGGGTGTGTGAGCGGGAGCGTGTAGAACGCGGCGGCGGAGGCGAGGAACGGGGGGAGCATGTAAACAGTGTCCGACCATATCTCAGTAGCATCGGTGCGGTGCGAGAGCAGAGAGTTGGGAGCTCGAGGGCATTTGTGCATAACGTAGTCCAGCATCTTCCCGACGCCGTCCAGGAGGCACTTGCTGGTAGCGCCGCGAGGGCTTGGGAAGAGCGTCGTGGTTTGAGCTTCGATAGAGCACAGATAGTATAGCGCTTCTCCCATACATGCGGGATCGAGTGCTCCTGCATCGGATGCGCCGTCCCCGTTCAGAAGGACCGACAGCCGTCCATCCGTAGCCTGGCGCACTAGAGAGTCATGGGCAAGCCCGTATATCCATTGCACGAAGTCGTAGGGTATGGCGAGCGCACCAGGACCCAGGTCTACACCTGCTCCGGAGAGGAAGCGGTGGCATTCCAACAGTGCCTGAGCGCAAATGCCTTGCTCCCATGACGATCGCTGTGTCGATAGGAGTGGCGGAAGGAGGAGTCGTAGTCTCTCGGCGAAGGCATGCAGTTCTGGTGCCGAAGTCTCGGACATCGCAGCACGACGATGAGGGTGGGATGGATAGGCCAGAAACGGCCATGGCCCGTTGCATCGTAAGGTTTGTGCCCATCGCCAACCGCCGACTGCGAAGTCCTTTCAGCATATGAGCAGGAGGATGACATTGCTTACTCACCTTCTACCGCTACCACCATCATAACAGCCACTCAGCTTGCGCCCGTTCGCCCGTTTGCACCACAAGTGCAACGCGAGGCAAAGAATCGCGCGTACCTGTGACTTTCTGGCGTCATTGAACCTATGCTGGTCGCGTGAACCTCCCATAGAATGCGGCTCCCTCGGAGGCTACAGCTCGTCAGTCTTCTCTCAACCGCACAGGTGCTCTTGGCCTCCACGTCCAGCTTGTCGGACGACGCGCAAACAGTCTTGACAGTCATGCCTGAGAAAGCCCATAGAGGTTGGAAGGTGTCTGTGTCTCCAGAGTGGGATGTGAGTTAACACTTGGTGGTGGTCAAGAGGAAACATACGATCTCACTCAATGCTCGATCTCGAAGGTTCTTGGCCCGTTTCCGATCCATGCTCGAGAGCAGCACTTCCTCTCGCCATGCTTTCCATTGAACCGTGAATATACCCATTCATGTACTGCATGCTTTGTGAAACATATGAATTTGTGGAACAGTTTCCCAGCCCATCGACCTCAATGCAACTTATCCTTCCGCATACGCCGACGGAGGATTTGTCGGTTGGACGAAAGCTCGCTCCCAGGATGATGGGATCCTCAAGGTATCTTTCCCAGACGTCAGGTAAGGCGGTTCTTTCTATCCCCAAGCGTAGCTGATGCGTTCTGCATAGGTGGGAGTCGCTTCGTGCGACTGAAGGCTGGGCAGCCTTGCAGCACCATAGCGTGCTCCGTTCGACCGTGACTGTATACCCGCCCAGTGAAGCAGAGGAGCTCCCGGAAGAGCCCCCTCAATTACTCGTGAACTTATTGCAAGGCTCCTTCTTTGCCGTGGTCCCTGTCGGGGAACTCCCAAATGGTCTCGTACCCGAGTGGCATGCCGGCAATATCTATGATATGGCGCGATCGCCCGTGAATGTAGTGGCTTTGCCAGTTTCCCCATCGCGCACTGCGCCAACAACTTACAGCATATTTGTCAGCGGAGACTACGAGGTGAACTCATGAAATCGTCAGCCGTTCGGTGCGGAAATGCTCACCATGTAGCGCAGATTCGACTCTTTGGAGACCCTGTCCACGCCGGAGGGAATACGCCCACAGTCTCAATCACCCTTACGGTCGGGGTCGAACAGTCCACACCTTCCGTCAGACGGGATGCCTCCCAAGATGTTTCTTGCGATCTCGTAGACGGCTGGGCTTTTGGAGATGCTTTGGGTGTTGGCCTCTATAGTGCTAATGGTTGGTGGACAGTCAAGAGCATCACCGTTCCGCAAGAATTAGCTGGAGTAAGCCCATCGTAGTGGTCACTGCCCGTTTGGCAAAAATTGACGACGGTATAGCGTATAGAGCTTGACTTGGTGCAACCGACGCGATTAGCTCCCAACCAGCACCGCGCGGTTCCAATCAAGTTGACCCAGACCCAGCCTGTCGAAGTCGAGCAATTGACATTCGCGCTGGAACTGGCATCGGACCACGCAACCTCCGTGATTGAGGTCGTGATACCAGTGCGGAACACGGCCCCTTGGACGGCAGCGCGCGACCAGTCTTTCAGCATCAAAGCCTCGTATTTCTTCGCGTCGACTACGCCGACGGCATTCCAAGTAGCGCCGCCGGATGAACCCAACATTGGGGCCCCTCGGCCTCCTGTTCTCGCTCTACGTAAGTGCACTCGCTTGCTGTCTTGGCCCATCAACTCAACCTAAGTACCATGTAGACGGGGCGGGTGTGGACATTTTCGAGCACGACTTCTGGATCCAAGCTATACCACGTGAGCAGCACAGCTGGATCATCACGCCGTCCGGTCGCACTCCATGGGTAGCTTGCAGACAATCTTTCCCGCTACCTGTAACTTACTTATGCTGTTTGACCAGGGCATGGATTGGCACGGGCCGAGCATGCATGACGCATGGGGCACGGTAGACGCGTTGTACGACATTCTTAGTCGGAGAGACGAGTGGCAGGATTGGGCTATTGCCCCGAAATCAAAGGTTCTCCTGATAGGCCACTCGAACGGCGGTCAGGGGGCCTGGCATATCGCCGCTAGATTCCCGGATAGAGTGATCGGGGGTATGTCGTATATGAGACTGCAGTGCGAGTCGAGGCTGACCTAGTTCAACGTGTAGTCGTACCAGCTGCAGGATACATCAAATCCCAATCCTACGTTCCGTGGGTCCAGTCGAGGTCGGTGATCATCCTAAAATATCTGTTCGCTCTGGGGATGCTGACGCACACCTCGCCGTAGGTCTGCTCATTACATTGATCCCGGACTGCGGGCTATCCTGGACTCGTCTTTGACACCGGATGACAACGACCTATTTTTGTCTAACCTTGTCGATACCCCAATACTTGCGATACATGGGTACGTTCGTGCTGTTACGAGTTTCTTTGGTGGTTTGTGGTTGATCTAGCCACAATAGCGGTGACGACGACAACGTTCCTGTATGGCATACACGAGAAGCTGTTTCGGTACTGAAGACATGGAACCCTGACGCCAACGTGACGTACGTGAGGTCCGTCGGGGCTCCCTATTTTGATTCTAACCCTCGTGTAGATTTCGCGAGGACCCGGGCGAGCCGCATTGGTATCCATCCATATTCTCCAGCGACCAAGCCCGGTCGTTTGTGACCAAAACGCTCGATAACACAGGCGCAGAGGGCGGCACGATTTCGTCGAGTTTCACGCTCACTGTGGCGCTCCCCAGCGACTCTGGCTCCCTGCACGGCTGGTCAATCCACAGTCTTCGTGTTCCCGGCAGGTATGGAATTGTCTGCTCTCATCCGTCACCGCTCATAACGTCGCTGTGATAGGCTCGCTAGGCTTACTGTGGACCTGAAGCAAGGGGCGATCCAGGTACGGACGAGCAACGTGAAAGCGTTCTCCGTCCGTATCGGCGCGCTCCCGGTGCAAGTACGGAACACACCCTTTGTGCTCGACGGCCAACGGCTTGAGCTAGACGAAGGGACGTGGAACTTGACTGACTTCACCTTAGCACTCTCGCGAGAAGACGGCCGCTGGACGGTAGGCATCCGTTGCCTCCATAATGATTAAGAGGCAACTGACCGCGGTTCAAACAGCCACACTCCTCGGACGAGATCAACGTACCGTCTCCATGCGGGCGGATGGCCAGTATACTCAGCTCTCCGGGACTGCTCACCATCGTGATACCGGCGAAGCAGCAGGGCGCGGAGCTATCAGCAGCATTACGTCTGGCTCATAACCTCAACGTCTACCATAGACTGGACGCGGAGATTATCGATGTCAAAGAGGCCTCGCGGAGGCTGGACGGCTCGTCCCTGAGTCCTGGCAATGTTGTGGTCCTAGAGCAGGGCTCATTGAGCTCGTTCGCGAAGTCGATATTGGGGAAAGCGGAGACTCCGTTTCAAATGCGGGGCGGCACACTCGAACTGCAGGGACGTCTCCTGAACGAGCCGAACACGGCGACGCTCTTCCTACACCCACACCCCACGCGCGCGGACGCCTCCGTGCTGTTTGTGTACGGCGGTGGGCCCGCGGGACTAGAGCGCGGCCTACGTCTCTTCCCCATCCGCACCGGGATTAACGTTCCAGACTGGATTGTCGTTGGAGCTCACGCTGACGAACGAGGTGCAGGAGGAGTGGAGGGTGCCGGGTAAGCATCATCCGAACAACAAGGCATTTCGTATTGACACGGGCTTGCGTACACAGGGTCTGGGGTAACGACTGGAGCTGGAACGAGGGCATGTCCGCATTCTAAGATTACGACAAGAGGTATGTATGGGTGATACATCACTACGGAATATACATGACACATTTAGAGTAGGTCGTGGAGGAGCGTGGTGGATTCGTCAGGCCGACCGTAAGCAAAGTTCAAGCCGTCACGTATGCCTTTTGTAACAGTGCGAGAGGGGAGAAATCTTGTTACAATACAGTGCAATGGAAACACAGCCCAAAATGGAGAAAGGGAGGACGAGCGGGATATATATCACAGATAGCGACAGCGACAGCAAGATGTGGGACCGGTGTCTCGGCGGATGGTCGTTACGGAGGGGGTGCTCTACGAGGTGAAGATAGACCGAGCGACCTGCGTATCACATGAATGTTTAGTTGCTGTATACGAGGCATATAAGAGCACACATACGTTCTCGAGGAGAAGGGTAACCTCGGGCGCGACGTTGACGAAGTCCTGCTGCCTGAACTGGTACTTCGGGTTCCGCAGGAGCTCGATGAACGTCACCAGGGCTCCCCAAGGGTGAGGGCGATGAACGAGGAACCGCTCGAGCAGGACTCTGGTCATAACCTCCCTGAAGCTGTCGGCCTCGATCTCGTGGAACAGGTGGAGCATAAGCAACGTGAACCAGTGGGTGTGCGCGTTCGGGTAGCGCAGGTGGAGGACCATCGCGTTGAGCAAGTGGTACTGGCCTATCAATGCAGTGGTTAAGTACGTGCCCAAACATATTTCGCTGACCAAGCATACCTTCCACGTCCAGGTTGGTCGCCAAGTAGTGCAGAGCCATAGCGCCGGGGTCCGTAGGGACAAACAGCGGGCCTGCACTGCGCGCTCTAGCCTGAGCCACCGAGGACACTCCGATGTACATGACCAGGGAGTTGATGAGAGACAGGTTGTAAGGCTCAGCTCCGGCCTCCTGAGGTGGGGCAAGGAGACGATCCTTGAGTGAGGACAGGAACGTGGGCTGAGAGTTCCTGTTCAACAGGAACTGGTCGAGGTACAGCCTGAGATCACCGGCACGGAGGCCCGCTGCGAAGTCGGAGAGGATGGGTGGGATAGGGCCCATTTCGGGGATCGACTCGAAGTCGATGTCGGGGAGATGAGGGTCGGGTAGGATGATGTTAGGAGGGTAGGCGCTGAGGATGATGTTGCGGAGCTGAATGCAACGCGGGGGGATGACGTCGCAAAGTGAGAAGTAGTACTCGGCAAGGAACTCGGGGAAGTCGTGAAGGAGGACAAGGAGAAGGCGGAGTGTGCCCCTGTACAGGTCCCTCCCAGCCGCCTGGAGATCAGCCGACTTGAGGAAGGGCCCCAGGAACTTGAACAAGGAGAGTAGAAGCTTATAGAAAGCAGACCAACCCTCCCTGCCGTCGGACAGGAGCAGTTTTGGCATGAAGAGGCGGTGAGAGATCAAGCTCATCCACGAGAAGGCGAAGCCCGGGAAGTACGTCGGCTGCAACGAGCTGAATGTATCCCTATATTCCGATGTCAGAAAGTAGCTTCGTATGATTGTGGACATGCGAACACATACCCGATGGCCAACAAGAGCTGGAAGTACGCGGTGCCGAGGCTGCTCTCGATAGAGTGGAGATCGTTCAACAGGCTGGAGAAGAACCGGAAGAACGGCTTCTGCTGGAAGGCGGGACCCTGCTCCTCGTGCATGTTCGCAAGGACGAGCACGAAGATGGACAGGATCTTCGTCAGGTAGTGGACCTTCGCCTGGTCGTTGTTGACCCCAGACGCGTCGCCGTGGTACTTGATGATGTACACGATCAAGCGCGACATGGCGTCGAGGGCCTGGAAGGCGAAGCCAAACTCCCCTGCGTTGACGTGCTTGATGTAGCTGTTGACGCTCGACTCTGCACAGACACGGAAGAAGAACGAAGACGTGTCCTCGGCCTTCAGGATGCCTTGACGAGTAAGTTGCGTGATGTACGGCACGAACGACTTCTCTGGCGAGTGCGACCGCTGGTAGATGCTGACCCATTGCTGGAACCAAATGAACAGCTTCTCCCGCAAACTCTCCGTCTCTGGCTTGACGGAAGGCTGCCGAATTGGCTGAGCCTCCACAGCTGCTTGAGCTGGCCGGCGAACGCCGCGCAGCTCGTCGAGGAGCCGGAGGACTCTGCAGTACAGGTCAGCAACCGGGTAACGTGCAATCTGACAATTTACTTACTCATCGTTCGCCTTGTTCGACTGTGCAAGCTGAGTGAGGATCTCCATCGAGTAGGAGAACTGTCCTTGGGTCGACAACGGCGGATCGGCGGCGAGGTACTCCCGGATAAGGCCAGCAGCGAAGGTCTGCAAGCTAGGCCTCGGGTCGGTATAGAGCTGCTTCGCCAGCTGTTGATCTTCCTGGACGATGGTGACGAGACCGCTCCGGAGGAGAGTGACAGTGACGGGCACATTGAACTTGCGCTAATCGGAGAATTAGAAGGACATAGGCACGATCATGAGCATTGACTAACCTCGTCCTCGGCGTAAACCAGCCAAGTGATTGCCTCCTTGGCGACATCCTCGAACGAATGGCAGAGCTGATCGAGGAGAGCGACGTAGATCTCGCGGCCAAGCTGCGACGGCGTCTTGTAGAGGAGCTGCACAATCTTCTGGGACATGAGGAGAGGGGTGCGCGTCCGGTCGAGGGAGTCGACGGCGAGGAAGAGGATTTGGCGGACAAGGTGGCGAACCTCATGATTGGGAGGGAGAGCGGCGAGCGAGGTGATGGGGAGCTGAAGAAGGACGGCCTCGAGGTCCCTGACAAGGGCCTACAGAAAGAGTTTAAAGGCATATATCGAAGCAACGTGCAAAGAACCTACGTTGAAGCGTTCCATAGCCTCCTGGGGTCGCAGGAGGTTCTGAGATGGCTGCTCAGGCATGGGCGACGGGCTGTACAGCGAGGCGATCTGATCATTGCGCGTATACGAGGCGGTCGAGTTGGGACGGCTGGTGAAGCCGCGCTTGGGTTCGGCTAACGGGACACGGTGAGCGGATAATCATCTAGCAAGTGGACGAGACTCACTGTAATCCTTGAACTCCTCGTAAACCCGCATTTGGCTGGGCTGAACACCAGACGCCTTAATGCGCAGCGGGTCGGGCAAAGAGGTGACGATGGGGGACTGCAGAGAAGCATTGTCCCAGAAGGCCTGGCCGGGACGTTGCTTTAAAAATAATCAGTCGGGCGAACGACCCAGACCACCGATGCTTCACATACCTCTCTGTGACGCCTACGCAGCTCGTAAGCAGCGGCGAAGCCCTCGTCCACATCGATGACCGCTCTGTCCATTGCCGCCTTCTCGATCGCGCTACACGCAAGCTCGATGTTGTCCTGGACCAAAAGGAAGATAACTTGGTCTGGGACCATTTGCTATCGGCACGTTAGCTCACATGCGTCTCGCGTACTTGGCATTTATCTTACCTCCGTGAAGCCAAACTCGGTAAGGAAGTGCCGCATATGGCTGCCGAGGTTGCCCTTCAGCGGCTCCTTGCAGGTAACGAGAGCAAGGCTGCCAGCCAGTTTCTGCGCCATGAGGTGTCCAGCCCTGCGCATCTTATCTTCGCTCGACTCGGTGACAAAGTCCTTGGCGACGAGCTCGCGCGTCGAGATACCAGCGATAGTGACGGAACGTTCGACGACCGGGAGAATGATCTAAATGGGGAGGTCAACTACTAAAACCCGATACATAACAAAGTGAACACGTACCTCGCGGACGGCGCGGTCGATAGCCATATGCACTGCGCGCTTGAAAGACGGGTTCGTGTTCAGGGGGGCCAACTGCGGACTGAACGTAACCTGGGGGAGGACGCTGGACAGGATGTTTTCGATGTGGGCACCAAGAACACGCTGCGTCTCCGAGGGGCTGGACGGGCCTAGAGGTAACACCTGAGCATCTCCTGGAGTCTGCGCGGTAGGGTCGTACCCACCCATAGGCAGGGAGTCTATGTCGCCGACGTAGTCTGGGAGGGGAGGGCCGGAGAGGGAGTCGGTGAGAGGGCGGTTGCGGAGGATGGTGGTAGCCTGCATGATGTCCAGGTCGACATCGAGCGCCTTGCAGAGCATCTCGATCTCAAACTTCAAGTTCAGCTTCAGCTCGGCGAAGTGGTATAGTTCGGTGAGGAGGCTGACGACGGCCATCAGCCAAGGGTTGGGTGGCCTGAAGACCTTTGACCTCGCGGCGGGCTCCAGGGTCTTGCAGACGAAGGGAATCGCGACGATGAGCCTTCCGTTATCATATCCCTCGATGAGGAGGTCCTTGAACGACAGCTGCTTGTGCTTGATCGGCCTGTCCCGTGCCAGTGTGATGCTTCCTAGCCATGAAGCTACGTTCTTAAGGATCGCCCGCTCCGAACCAAGTTGCATCGTCTTCTCCGAGTTGAGAAGGATAGCCGACTTCACGAGCGTCTCGTGCAAGATGAAGTGGGAGAGCGGTTGTAAGTTCAACGCCTCCAGGAACCGAAGGTAGAGCTGGTGGTTGTTGGGCTCGGTGCTAACACGCTGGTCCACAAGGTAGTTGGCGAACCACCGGCAGTACTGCTCCTGGAACTGTCCCTTCATCTCCAACAGCTTCGCATCGAAGTTTGACGGCGCAAGGTTGTTCACGATGAACAGGATCTTGTCCGAAACCTCCTCGGGCGGCGCCTCAGGCTCTCCGTCAAGCCTGTCCAGCTGGATTGCGGTGAAGACCGGAGGCGTCTCGGGCATCGACGCGGACTGCAGGGTGCGGAGGTCAGCCGAGCTGCTACTGCTATCACCATTTACCAAGGCGCGCTGGATGATGACCGCTAGCTCGGGGCGAGCCTCAAGAAGGTGGGGGATCTTGAGGAGTGCCTGGCAGAGGGGCTGCCATTCAGCTAGCCGGGACTCGAAGCGCGACAGAGCCTGCAGACCAAACTTGAATAGGTTCGTCTCGGGTGGGCAGCCAAGCGCGTCTAGGACATAACGGATGGCAATGCCGAGGGGGATGAAGTCGACCAGCTGGAACTGGATCAACGAGCCGAAGAGGTAACCGGTCATCGCAAGCTCGCGAGGTGGGTAGCAGTGCTGGAAGAACTTGTACTCGTCGAAGAGGAAGTGGAGCATGCAGGAGAAGATCTCATGGTCGCGAGGGCTGCTGGACGTCTTGTTGCGCTGCAGCAACTTGATCACGTCGTCGATCGTGATTTGCTCGTCGTACATCTGCTTGTAGATGCCGTCGACCTCTGTCTCGATTTCCGCGGAGTAGCTGACAACCGCAAATCCAGGCTCCGTATCCGAACCGGGGATGAGGTTCATCAAACGAGGGTGAATTTGGAGGCACGCGTTCCGGACTTCGAGGCAGTAGTCGATATCACTCTCGTGCATGATAGCAGAGCTGTGCAACGTGCCGTTCAACGTATGTTCAATGTACCGAGTGATAATGACGTACCTGTTGCGCAGGACTCGCAAGAAGATGGTGATCGTCTGCGGGGAAAGCTGCATGGTGCGAGGGTCGACCGGGGGATCAGAAACCCGCTGCGCTTTCTCACTCTCCATCTTGAGGTCCAGGAAGGCTATCACGGCGTGCAAGAAGTCCGCTCCATGCGCCGACACGTTGTCTGCCAGCCACTTGTCGAGATTGAGATATTCGCGACGAGACGCAAGAGCAGCCACATCCAGTGCAAACGTGAACGGCCGGACTTCCAGTAAGGAGTCAAGGATCTGTGAGTGGGTGTTAATCAGACGTGAGCAGGTCAACCACGATATACTTGCCTTCAGGTCTTGAGCAACGTCCAGTATCCTCGTAATGTTCAACGGGCTCTCCTCATAGAAATCGCGGAAAGCGTTGGTGAGATACACCGGTTCGATCTGCCAGATCCTCATGAACACTAGCTGGTGGTTGGGGTGCCCGGCTAGGAACATAGCCAGAAGCCGCTGGGTGTAGTCCAAACGGATATCGTTCCAGGGTGATTGCTAGGTAGGCGGAGGTCAGTACATTTGCATCAAAAGGGGATACGAGAGACGCACAGGCACTTGTAGCAGCCCCATGTGAACGAGTTCGGCACTGATCTTGACCGCCTTGTCAAGCATCTCACGGACCGTATTCTCCACATCTGGGTTGTTCAAGTCCGCTGCTTGAACGAGCACCTCGAACAAATCCAATGAGTTCCAAGTGTGCCCTTGCACGTTGGCTGCGAGCGACTTGATGGTGGGACTTGCGCCAGCGACATCATCCACTGTGACTATCTTCCGCCCAGGCAAGTTTACGAAGTTGAACGTATCTGCGGGAAGGGAGAGGAGTGCATCAAGGAGGCGGAGCTGATAGAGCGTGTTTGACCACAACTGCCAGAACCCCGTGACCGCGTGCTGGTTGTCGTCGCGTGGTGCATTCATGAGGATGGCAATCAGGAGCTTCAACGTCGCCGTGTCCACGCCTTGGCGGTCAGGCATGTCGAAGGCCTTGATAGCTGCGGCCCAGTTGAGTTCGCCATTCTAATGGAACGTGACATATCAGTAATCAGTCGGCAGCATTGCGCGTAAGACGTACCAAGCTGTTCAACGCTCGAACAACAGACCCAACATCCGGCAGATGTGTTCCCTCAGACGCTAACCTTGCTAGGGAAGTGATAACCTCAACCAATTGAGCGTCCGTGGGCGGATTGTTCTCTGTCAGACCGAATCGCACGAAAAGTGCACGAACGACGTCAGGGTCTGCGGTGGCCTCAGGACCTAGCTGCACCAGTGCCTGCACAAGTGAAGTCCCATTAGGCAGGCTGCCGGGCCCAAGTCAGTATTGGTGAAGTCAAAAGCGTGTCTTGATCACACAATGCGGACGTACCTCAAATTGGGCAGGATGCGTTGCAATATGGGGGATACGATCTCTGAGCCGTATTTGGCTTGCGCAGCCAGAATCAGAGCCTGCCTCTGTGTCGCATCCAAAACCGGCGCGTCCTGAGGTGGTTCCGCCAGCAAGTTGGACAAGAGTTTGGCAACCTGGTTCGGGCTCAGATCGGCATGGTCAAAGGAGGGATGCTGGCACAAGGCTAAGACTGCATTCTCGAAGTCCACCCGGATGACTGTCGCCGCCTGCGCCGCGAGTTCTTTGCGCGTGGGAGCCGCGAGAATGGACGACGCCAAGATGAGCCTTTCCAGCGGCCTGAGCCCAATGCGATCGGCAAACTTGATGAAGTCGAAGTTGCGGAAGACATCCCCTTCTCCACGATCGATACCATCTCGAAACCTGTCGGCAAGGAAGGGGTCGCGTGCAAGACGTTGAGTTTCTTGCACCAGCAAGCGAAAAGTGAGGGCAGCAGATTGATCAAACGCGGCGGGAGAGGCGGTAGAGGTGAGTCTGCTGTGGGAGTGAACGATGAGGCGGCGGATGAAGTGGAGGTACGTGTCAATGCCATGTTGCTCCGACAACTGCATACGCGCAAATCAAACACAAGAATGTGAGCGAACCACGCCAAGGGGTACAGAACGCGCATACACGCACCGAACGGATTTCCACCTGGTTCCTTTCAAAGTTGTCCTCCGTAAGCGTTGAGAGAAGAAAGACGATCTGGGCTTTGACGATGGTATGTATGTTAGGACTGGCGGTGCCGTCCATGGCTGGCGTGCGCGCCCTGGCTGAGGCCTCCGTCATCCGTCGACCGGCGGGGCCGCTGCCAGAAGCCGTTTTGGAGGGTTTGGGGGGTAGGCGAGAAGGCGAACTGAGAGACAAGACAGACCGAGGTCGCCTTGAACAGCGAGCAGAGAGTCCTTACCGAAGCTGAGTGACAGTGAGCACGCGTCCCACCGTTCAAGCTCCGCTTCAATCCGAGTGGCGGCAACTTCTCCCACCCGTCCCGGTCTCAACGCCTCCATCCTTCGTGCACAACTTTGCGAACTCAGATATGTTCTCATCCACCCTCGCCCATACGAACGAAACACTGCTGCGATACAGTTACCACTTGATTGCGATGCAAGCAGGCCTCCACCGGTGCCCTCTCTGGTGCAAGCGCGCGCCTGGGAGTGCCTGAGCGCGCACGCGTGGTCGCGTGGAGAGTCGCGAGAATCAAGCCTGACGTCGTCCCATCTCTCATCCTCCTCCACAAGCCTATTCAGCCCTTGCCCTTCTGGGAATTCGCACCAGTAGAGCGTATTTTGGACAGGAACTCCAGGAAGAGGAATACCGGCGTCGTCAATACACGAACTCCGTTGGACGTTGACACCGGCCGTGTAAGTACAGTCATCTGCACTTGTCTATCGTCCCGGGGAACCTCACTCTACATATACATATAGAGTTACCACATTCGCATAAGCTGCACCAAAATGAATTCGTCCACACAGACGCCTGCAGCGCCTGGAAGAGACACGTATACTGGTGCCTCTACCACCGTAGAAGTTTGTGAATGGCACGGGGCGTTAAGAACTGTACTGATGGCGTCATAGATTGACTGCCCGAACGATATCACCGGTTTGGAAAGAGTTATGTTGATCGCTCAAGGAGACCTGCAGCGATTGCTCAGGTACGCTCAATCGCATCAATCTGTTGGCTCTCCTTGATTCAGGCTGCGTTGTCCCCAGCGCTTTCTTCGCCAGAACAATCAACATCGAGTGCATATACTCCAACACTGGCCCTCGGAACTCGAGCGCATCTCCTCAAAATCCCATCAAGCAGGCACGCCAGGTCCACCTCAAGTGTGGTACACGCATTCTATGCATCGCAACTTCCTCAGTCACAGTCACTTCGCCCGAGTGCGAGAGGCTTCTGCTCGACGAACGCTTCGCCCTTGGCCAGATATTCCGACATCTCCGACGCTACCCAGACTTCGCCCTTCTGAACGTTGTCGCCGAAACTGTTAACGGCAAACGCGAACTTAGGAGAACGTACAGGCTCGAAACACTGGGCATCATGTGTGAGATCCTCGAGGTCTTCCCCGATCGTGATATGTTCTCCAGGGGAGAAGCATGGTTAAACCAGGAACCTCAAGACCAGACTCCCGCCGAATCGTAGTTGTTGAAGACCTCGGCTTGTCCGAGTGCACCGGCCGCTCGGGCCACAATGCTGCTGCTCCCACCAGAGACCCCCCTTACTCAGCTGCCTCCCACACGGACTTAGATGTACATAGAATGGTCGTGAGCACGGCTGGGCACCTTTTATACATGAGTAATAATCGTACCTGACGAGCCCGTTCTGACCGATGTCCAAGGAAACGAGAAGTTGCAGCGATGCTTCTATGTCATTGTAGATCCATGTGTGTTTCCGCGGAAAGTTGCGGGTTGCTTTAGAGCGCTGACCAGGTGAGGCCGATGTCCGCTCCTCACAACTTTGATACATTACTGACTGGTAACTGCCTTAGTGTTGCCTACCACGGAAGAACACTTTTCGAGCGCTACACCTACACAGATGCGCGGTGTGCACTTGCAAGACATGCCCGCTGAAGGAAACGAGCACCGGCCTCTGCTCGGTATTGCTCAACCCTTGCAGTCCCGTGCATCTTCAGTTACGGCAGCGCGGGCGGGATGTCCGCCTTTGCCAAGCCTACGCGCCTCAACGCCGCTACGCACAATTTACCTCCCTCGAAGCTGTGCAGATTCAAGTCGTTGATGCGCCCGCGGCCGTGGCCTCCGTGGCCCATCGGAGTCAATTGCGCTACGTACCCGCGCCATCATTGTACGTTTGTACACCGCTTGTTGGAATGGGCCCGCCGGTGTCGATCGCAAACGGGTGAGTTCAGTACTAGCCCATCAGCGCAGCAGCATTTGCGGCGAAGAAGTGTCCGCCCCACGCTCATCACCCAGCGCCCTTCTCGACATCGGAACCGCCGCAACACAGGGAAGAGGCCATTTCGCCCATCCAGGGCCCGGGGATCTTCTCACGACGCGAGGGCATTTCGCGCGAGCGTCGCAGCCGGTGCGCCGAGGCTGCATGATCTGTGCGGCTCCTGCGCTTGTGCCGCTCGCGTCGCCGAGACACAGCGAGACATCTGCAGGCGGCCGGGGCGGCGCGCAACCAGCTCGGCTGTTTGGAGTCCGTCGATGCAACGCGTCGACATCCATCGGGGACGGCGCATGGCTTGGCACGCGCGCGTAGCACCGACGCGCACTATAAAGGCGAGGCGGTAGGGGAGAGGCGAAGCACCACGTTCAGTCCCTTCCTTGGATTTCGGGCAGCTTACTCCTTCTCGCCTCTCTCTGCCTCCTTTCCTTCGGGCTTCTACTCTTCTTTTCTATTTCGCTTCTGTTCGAGGGTAGAACACAGAACGCTATGACTGGGCTGCGTCTTCTTCCTTCCTTCGCGGCGTTGGCCGTGACCGTGTCTCTCGCGCTCAACGCGTTGGCTGGAATCGGGCCTGTGCTCGACCTCACGATCTCCAACGCGGTGGTGTCGCCCGATGGTTTCTCTCGCGCGGCGGTCGTTGCGAATGACCAGGCTCCCGGGCCTCTCATCACGGGCCAGATGGGCGACCGCTTCCAGATCAATGTGGTCAACAAGCTGTCGAACCACACCATGCTTAAGTCGACCAGCATCGTGAGTATTTAATCTGGGCGTGGGGTATGGGCTGCGCTGACGCAAGTACACGCTTCGCAGCACTGGCACGGCTTCTTCCAGAAGGGCACGAACTGGGCGGACGGCCCTGCGTTCGTGAACCAGTGCCCGATTGCGACGGGGCATTCGTTCCTTTACGACTTCCAGGTCCCTGACCAAGCCGGTATGTTACTTTGGAGGGTGTCCAGGAGCGACATACTGACAGGCATGTAGGAACGTTCTGGTACCACAGCCATCTGTCTACCCAGTACTGTGACGGGTTGAGGGGTCCATTCGTCGTCTACGACCCGAATGACCCTCATGCCAGCCTCTACGATGTGGACAACGGTGAGCAGCTCCGAGCACGTATCTTCGACGTTACGCTGATATCCTGCCCAGATGACACCGTCATCACCCTCGCTGACTGGTACCATACTGCTGCCAAGCTTGGGCCAGCCTTCCCGTAAGTTCGATTGTCGATCGGTCTGTTCTCTACTCACAGACCACGGCCTGCAGTCCTGGCTCCGATGCGACGTTGATCAATGGGCTCGGCCGTACAGCGGCCACCCCCAACGCGGATCTCGCTGTCATCAGCGTCACGCATGGCAAGCGGTAAGAGCGGCTGTACCTTCCTCTTGCTCGCAGCTGCTCAAACTATATGGTTTATAGGTACCGTTTCCGCCTGGTGTCGATGTCCTGCGACCCCGCGTACACGTTCAGCATCGACGACCACTCGATGACCATCATCGAGGCGGACTCGGTCAACACAAAGCCGCTCGAGGTCGACTCGATCCAGATCTTCGCCGGCCAGCGCTACTCGTTCGTGTTGGAGGCAAACCAGGACGTCGGTAATTACTGGGTCCGCGCAGACCCTCTGTTTGGCACGACGGGCTTCGACGGTGGTATCAACTCCGCGATCTTGCGCTACGATACCGCGTCGCCCACCGAGCCGACGACGACGCAGGCTACTTCCACGAAGCCATTGAAGGAGACCGACCTTGAGCCTCTCGCTTCGATGCCGGTGGTAAGTCTGACTGGCACTTCATCTTTGATGGCATGCTCATACAGCTCTCCAGCCTGGCTCTGCTGTCTCGGGCGGTGTTGACAAGGCTATCAACTTCGCTTTCAGCTTCGTACGTGCTACTCGCGAACTTTTCCTAAGACTCGTACTGACGGTTCCCCATAGAACGGTTCCAACTTCTTCATCAACGGCGCGACCTTCCAGCCTCCCACCACCCCCGTTCTGCTGCAAATCATGAGCGGCGCCCAGGCTGCCAGCGACCTCCTCCCGTCCGGTGACGTCTACGCCCTGCCGTCGGACTCGACCATCGAGCTCTCGTTCCCCGCGACTACTGGTGCTCCCGGTGCCCCCCACCCCTTCCACTTGCACGGTGTAGGTTATCGTATTTTTGTTCCATTTGACCCCATACTGACAACCACATAGCACACCTTCGCTGTCGTGCGCAGCGCAGGCAGCACTGAGTACAACTACGACAACCCGATCTGGCGCGACGTCGTCAGCACTGGTACCCCTGCAGCGGGCGACAACGTCACCATTCGCTTCAGGGTGAGTTGCTATCATTATCCCCTCCCGTGTAATCGGTCGCTGACAGTCCTGCAGACTGACAACCCTGGTCCGTGGTTCCTCCACTGCCACATCGACTTCCACTTGGAGGCCGGCTTCGCCGTGGTCATGGCTGAAGACATCCCCGACACCAAGGCCGACAACCCTGTCCCCCGTGAGTACATTTTCCCGGCCCCGTCAAAATCTGCGCTGACCGGGTACCGTTACAGAGGCGTGGTCGGACCTTTGCCCCATCTACGACGCCCTCGACGCTGACGACCAGTGAACACGCCTCATGAGATCGTCAACGCTTCCTCAATCATTGACTTACCGACTTGCTATTTCTAACGCCCTATTTGCGAACCCCCGCTCTCCCCTCTCTCACACTACGGTCTCTTCGTGAACATGGACTTGCATGGACTTTGGATTGTAGAAAGTTTACACAGCTGTATAGTCGAATTATCACCGTAATACATGGTAGTGCCGTTGGCCTTTACCTCAATTGCTATCGGAACCCATTGATTCTCAAGTCCTTCGCGACTCGAGACTTGGCGCCGAGCCCTCGTCTACCGCGATGTGACGCGCGCGATACGTGAATGTGACTGATCGCGTTCCATTACTCAAACGCGTCGGCCGTGAGCTTGCTCCGTTACTCTCGACCACCACCATCTCCCGCTCTCTCACCCACCTTCTCTGCACCATGACGGCAGACTACAGACTACAGTCTCTTGATGATCCGACGGCGGTCATCCAAGAGCTCTACCGCGCCCATCCAAACCCGGACGGTTTCCCTCGCCTCGTGGCTGAGCACTTCCAAAAACTCTTCGAGAGCCCGAACATGTTCAAACGCGTACGCACACATAACATACACCAAATTTCCCAAATTGAATTCATGGTGCTTCTAGATTCCTATACTCGATGTCCGACGGCCCCCAGAGTCCCACAGGGATCGCGCAGTCGTTCGCTTCCGCGCGATGGTGCAAGACACATCCCTCTCTACGGAGATGTATCTCTCCAAATTCTCGGATGGCAGCTGCGGCGGCTGGGGGATATACGAGACCGAAGGAGGGAGCAGCTCGAGCTCCCCAGATGTGGAATACACGAACTTACGGGAGTGCAGTGTCCTCTGGGCAACTAGCGTTCCTGCGGAGTCGAAATGGTGTGCGGATGAACTCAATGGTCTCAGAACGGGTGAGCACACAGTATAGAGACTCCTGCGGTCCCCCACTCACATCTTTCCGTAGTACCAGACGATTCTTTATATGTTCCGCCGTCTGCGACGGTCTCTCCGCGGTCCTACAAATATCCTCATGCAGAGACTGGGCACGTCGGAGTACAAGTGAAGGTGGGATTGCTTCAGAAAGAGTTCCACTGTGCCATTGACTCCTAGCTACCATTAGCTATATGACAGAGAAGGCACGGAGTCCTACAAATCTACCGAAATCGTCACATTCGTCGGGATCCTGTCATCCGAGCCGTACGTTCTTGTTTTTGAGGCAGATGGCGCATAATTCATAAATTGCGCCACTAGATGCAGCTTGGAACAAACGAGCGCACCACCGTCGGACGCACCAACGCTACACGTCCTCTTTACGCAATCACACAGCCCGACCTTTGTCGACCGCCCATTTCCTCGAAAAGAGAGGCCTGCGCAGAATGTGCATGTCGTCAGCAGCGCGGATTCGCAATCATCGCCGCGTGCCGCAGAGGACAACGCGCAAGTCCGGGAGGAACTCATCTCATGGATCGCGGATGAGGCTCTTGGAGGCGACCGAGTCGCCGCAGAATGGGTGCTTATGTCTTGCATCTCCAAAGTGTAAGCGACGAATGATTTCATGGAAGCCGTTGTTCTAATATAGCCATGTAGACAATCTCGCCACCCACCCCTGCACCCACCCTCGCTCACCATCTCCCGGTTTCCGTCGCCTCCTCCCGTGCCGACGACCACCGTAACCACATCATCACCCACACCTACACTATCTGCTGTTCTCCAACTGCTCCTACCCCTAATCCACACACTGCCCCTTTCACTCGACACTCTGAATAAGAGCCACTTCGTGCCGGAGAGCAAGGATGAGGACCTGCATGCAGGTGTGCTGCAGCTTCCCCAAGGGACGGTGCTTCTCGTTACCGAGGGTGATGTGACTGAAGGCCAGCTTCTAGAACGCGGTACGTTGCATAAACCCTCTCAGTCATCCAGCCTACCTTAATCGAAACTCTGCAGGGGTAATGAACGTGCGCGCCCTACAGGACGTGATGGACGCACAGACACTGCCATACGTCTTCCCGTTCAGCCAGTTTTCGTTCCCGACGGACGTCAGCTGCATTGTCCTAAGCGAAGGTCACAAGAGCGCATTCTTCAGAACCGACCTGAATGTTCCGCTGCGTGCCCCTACGACCCCGGCTACGATATCGGCCCTGTACAAACCCACGGACGAGGTGAAGTTGCCGTCGGCGGATAAGCTCGCGGCGTTCCGAGATGTGGTGGTCGGCGCGAGGGGTGGGAGGGTGCAAGTTCCAGAAGCAACGTCTGAGGTACGTGCTTCAATTTAACCTGTTGCGTCGTACGGGACTAAGGGTTGATGGAACATGCAGCATATACAAAACGAATTCGTGAGCGAGCGACGAGAAGATAGGAGCTTGACTGCCGAAGACCTCATTCGCAGGATGTCGGTCGCGAAGTACGTGCTACAATATCTTCTACTTGCCAGCTACTGATGTACATGCAGACTGTATGCACTCTCCTTGCACGAACCGTCGCTGAGCGTAGAGACGTGGCAACGGGCGAAGGCGTTCGATGATCAGCGCAGAGCGTCGGTGGCATAAGCCATATACCGACGCATTTAAACTAACAATTTGGTGCCCGCCAATGTACAACCTGTCTAATCTGTACTTCTTGTTTGTCGTATCTGCAACCATCTCTCCGTATTCTTCGTCATTCAGGGTTTTCCGAGCCCGTGCTTGTCCGCCTCCATCCACACGTCCGACAGTTCCCGGACGACCTTGCGCAGGAGCTCTCCCACGGCGTTGGCGTCCTTGCCGCTCCCTTCCAGGTAGTACTTGATCTGGTGTACCTCTCAGTAACCAAAATCGCCCCTCATCTATCGCTTACGCACCTTTGGCTCTGTCCCGCTCGTCCTATACACAAATCACGCAAACATCAGCAACATGGAATCCTAGCTGAAAACGGGCCTCCTCTCGCACGCACCTCGTCGTGAGCGTGATCTTCGACCCGTCTTTTACGTTCTCCGCACGGAACTGGATCATGTGCCCGGACGAGAGCGGGAGCTCCGGCTTGTAGCTCGGCGCGTTCCCGCTGTCGTACCCGACGGTGAGGTCGCGCACGCGCGTCACGGCGAGCCCGCCGAGCGTCGACGGGTAGTGCGGCGTGCCGCCCGGGGCGGTGCGCCCGTCGTAGTTGCGCAAGCGGGCGAAGATGGAGTCGATGGTGGGCGGGTCGGTGCAGATGAAGTAGGAGTTGCTGGTCTGCGTGCGTGGATGCGGATGTTAGCTGTTGTATCGGCGAACTGGTGGGGGGCGGGTTTACCTGGAAGTAGCCGTAGCTGCGAGAGGGGTTCGTCAGAAGGCATGTTGGGTATGAGTGCAGGGCGTGAATTTGCGTACCGTTCATATAGCTCCTTCAGGTGGGTGCTCGCGGTCTTGCCTGCCTTCTGTAGCGTGACGACGAACTCCGCGAACATGAGCTGTCGCGATCCGTGAGATGTCAGCGGGCCAGTGGGGAATGTGGTAGATGACTGACCGACGCCGCGACGCCGTCCTTGTCGCGCAGTAGAGAGCCGAACATGAACCCTATGGCTTCTTCGTAGCCGAAGGGTACCTCATAACCCTCTTGTTCCAGCGTCAGCGCCGTGTTGCCGATGTACTTAAAGCCTGCCGGTTGACGTTTCCATTAGAGCCAATGGGGCACGGGTAGGGTAGCATACTCGCCAGTGAGGCATTCGGCGAACTTGAAGCCCTCGGCGTGTGCAATTGCCTCGATCATCTTCGAGCTTACGGTAGAAGCGACCATAGCGAGCTTGGCTAGAGGAGTATGAGACATCGGCCAACCTGTCAAGATGTGGGCGATTTACAGAGTGGCTTCCCGGAAGCCTTGTACTTCTCCAGGCATGCGCTGGCGAAGAGCGTCCCCAGCTGGTCGCCCGTGAACTGGATCCATTTCCCGTCAGGCCTACAAGACCTCATGAGCAACTGTGACGCAGAGGAGATGGCAAATGGCAAATGGCCTACCCTTTCTCTGCAGCCGCAAAGCGGTCCGAGTCGGGATCTTGGGCTAGGATGTAGTCCGCACCGGCTTCGTTTGCGGTCGCGATGGCGAGGTCCTGCGAAAGATAAGTACCGTTCCCGGGTTGAGTCTACCTGTTTTGCACATACCAATGCCCCTAGCCACGATCGAAATCAGTAAGCATATAGTATATTTTGAGAACTAGAGGAGTCACACCCTTTTCTTCCGGGTTCGGGAACTTGACAGTAGGGAACTCAGGGTCTGGTTTCTGCTGGGCCACCACGGGGATGTACTTTGCCAGACCGAACAACTCGAACGCTTTGGACATAGCGGGGTCGCTGACTCCGTGCATGGAGGTGTTCACGAACTTCAGCGTTGTCTGTGCGTTGAGCGATCTGTAGCAATAGTAAGCATGTCGATTAGCCGTAACCTTCATCATGACAATGCTCACTTGTAGAGGCACAGCGAGCTGATGTACTCGAAATATGCCGACTCGTCGTACTTTCGGAGTAACGGCGAGCTCGCCAAGCTCTCGATGTTGAGCGAGCGCAGTTCCCGCTGCTCCCGGATAGATGCTGATATGCCCTTGTCATGGGGCTCGATAATCTAGGATGTCTTGTCAGCGCAGAACTGGCATTTTGCACAGAGCGCAATATGCTGACCTGAACAGCGTTTTCCCAGTAAACCTTGTAACCATTGTCTTGCTAAACCAAAATTCAGTAGCTTCCAGACTGGAGGGATAAAACTCTCAATCACCTTCGGATTATGGCTAGCTATTGTGATAGCGAATGTCTTGTCAACATAAGACCGCGATGAAGCGCAGACTGACACTAACCGGTGATCATTACACCGCAAGCCGCATTCTTCGATTTGACAGTGAAAGGAACTCTGCATACGTGAGATTAGTCTGCACGGTTCCATTATGTATTCGTAACCCACATAGGTGTATGAACCACTCCATCATGGAAGTACGCCGGTACTCCCTGATCAATGAAGGCCGCCGCGGTCAACTTGGCCCACTTCTCGGAGTGGTGACGGTGATCGTGCCCAACCACCACGCCACGGGAGCGGGCGTCCTTGACGTTCTTTACGACATATGCGCATAGTCCCTGTGGTGAATAGTCAGTCTACTCCCTCCAAAGATGTCTGGTGCGCACACGCCTGGGAGGCTTGGATTATGATCAGATCGTTCATGCGAGCCCAGCCGGATTCCATTCTTCCGCGTAGACCTGCTTGCAGTGAGATGATGTATCCCATGCCGAGCAAGGGCGGACAGTACCTGCCGTTCCGAACTCGATCCTTGGGCTATGTTGTGAGATGAGAAGGATTAGCTTCTGCCACCTCTCATGCGTTATGCATGTTCGCGGCACCTCATGCGTTTCTGAAGCTCCGAGGTATTGCCATCATCAACAAGTTTCTGTATCTCGGACCTTGTCTCCTCGTTCTGGGGGTGAACCGGTTTGTTAACCTGCTCGCGCTGAGATCAGCTCGACGAAAGGATGCTTACAGGATCTAGGTGAAGCCATTGATCAACGAGACTCTTGAGTTCGGGATCCATTGTCAGAAATATGGTGTAGGGGCCTCCGGAGATATGACTGAAATCAGTGGTCCACAACTTATGCTGTGAAGTGTCTACTACCACTTGGGGGTTTCTGAACAAGATGGGACTTCCATATCGAGACGCGCGCTCAGGAAGCTTCCTCGTCATCGACCGGTCTAGGCCATCATTAGACGCCCATGCTATTGCAGCACCTGCTGAGTGCTGCTAGCGAGTTCTCTAGTCGTACTTCGCGCATCGTACTGTTGGGGAGCCCGTGGCCTCGATGTTTCGCGGAGATATACAGAATATTATACGCTATCCAGACCTTCGACAGATGAGGTCACGTCAATATTGTACGGAAAGTTGGGAGCCTGCAACTCGAGCTCAATCGTCTCCACAACCTTGTCTCGGAGGTCCCTCGCGATGACAAAGAACACGTCCAGCGAATCGTCGGTCGCGCTGTCTTCGCCTTGACTCTTTCCGGCTGTTGAAGCCGGGTTTGAGCGAAATACCCTAAGGTAGCGATCGGTGAGGCCGGACGTGTGGAATCGTGTGGCATGAGGGTAGCCGAAATGCGCCGATCTCCAGTTAATCCTATGGCGTTACAGCATGATATAGTGAGGATTATACATTATGTGATTTATAGGAGACGTACGACGCGTTCGAGTTCACAGACAGCTTCTCAGGAGTCGATGTGAAGAGCCAGGTGCGATCGCCATTGACGGCCGATAGCATCAACGTACTTGCAACCGCCATGTACTCCTCCACAAAGGCGGGGGTTCTGCAACGCGAGAGAGTATTGCGGATGGCAACTGCAGTATTAAAGAGGCTCGCGGAAACCGTCCCCAGGGTGGTGGGTACCTGGAGGAAATTTCAGCCCGTCGGAAGTCTCGTCGTCAATCACTATGCCACTCACAATGTAGATTGCGTTGCCAGCCACTCTCGGGCTGTCTACGACAGCAGGAACGTCGCGGTACTATCCAGGTTGTACTAAATGAGCAGCGAACAAGATTGACACAGAAACCCGAGACATACGCTTGCTGCGTTCGTAATACGCGTGATTGGCCCCCCCGCTGAGTGGCGGTTGAGAACATTCACGACATATGCTGTCAAAACATCTTGCGCCGACAGGACGGTGGTCGTCCCTTCCATGACCGACATAGTGTGCTCCTTGAGTCGCCGAAGACGGCCACCTGGGAACTTGAAGCTGACCCAAGAGGTATCCTGGTTTATGTTGGCGTACCGTTGCCCGAGCTCCGAATTCGGACATGTATTGGTCAGGTGGGGCATCAGCGGAGAATACTGAGCATTGAGGATGGGTGTCGGGCTTCGGAAGCTTCTTTTAGTGAACGTAGGCGGGGGGAGCTGAGCAACGTCGTGTCCTTGATATTGTTCAGATAGACAATGCATGAACCGTTGGAGGACGGTAGCATCCCCTGCGCGAGCATAGATCGGTCAGTGAAAGATCCGCTCATTAGCAAACTTCGAGATGCATACCTAAAGTATGATGCCAGGATACCCCGAGCGCAGTCTCGTCTGTAGCGAAAGTGATCTTAAACAACAATAGACGGGACTCCTCTTCCCCGTCCGGCACAGACTCATGATAGTGAGCGACCGCCTGTTTGGAGGCAGAGAACAGGCGGAGGTTCCGTTGCAACACCCAGTCGTCGCTAATCCCCACTGACACACTCTCTGTTTCTGCAATTTCTAGAGGTACGGCCGCATTGGACAATGCGATCTATTGAGCGATCAGAACCCACAGATTGTAAGGCCTTGCCACCCCCCAACCGAGCGATACGCACCTGCCACTCTTCGCCACATCTGACGAGGTGACCTGCAGCGTGTGGGTATAACTGCAAGGTATCGGACAGCGCTGCTTTGAAGCGGGCCACATCGAGACGCGTCGGGATGACAAATACGTTCTCGATCTGCGGTGAGGGAATCAGCTTCGGTGTCTGCCCAACAAGCTCGGCAAAACTTACGTAGTGCATCCATAGGTCGAACCCCGGTAGTTTGACGGAGCTCTCACCGTGCAGCGCCGTTGGCAGCTTCGGCCTTACAGTTAGACGTGTGGGGATCATCGTGGATAGGTAGGAGTTAGAGATCGCACTACTGATGAGAGAGAGAAAGAGAGGCGGTACTACGCGTACACGCGGCGGCGTTGTGCCCGAAGGTGACTGTGCTTGGATTTGTGCTTCTATGGATCCCGTGCCGCTCGGCGCGCGTATGCACAAGATCCTACCTGGGTGCATACTTTGGCACAGGACATAGTGTATTGAAGGAGTGACAACTAGCCGGGACAAAACAGCGTAGAGTGAAACGATTGGGACGAAGTGCAATACATGACCTTACAGTATGGGGGGAGAGCGAGACACGATAGAATAACGATAACGATCTGTCGTGCTTAGGGATGCGTGGGGTGACAACTAGAACGACTCGATGGGGCTGGCGGCGAGTCCGGTCTCGTTGACGCGCGCACTGGAGCTCGCATCGCTCGTGGTCGCCGAGTTCATGGAGGTGGGGATTGAGGCCTGCCGCCTCAGTGACCGACGTGGGCGAGAGGAAGTCGAGGCGACGGCGACCTTGGCGGGAGAGGCCTTCGGCGCCGCGTCTGCGACCGGGGCCGGGGGGATAAGTGAGGGCGAATTCAAGGCGCTGAGCCGAGGAAGGCGAATCTTCAACGTAGGGGTGGCATCCGGCTTGCGCTCGACGACAGCCGTAGAAGTGGCCTGACCATTTGCCGTGGGAGGCGTCACTGGCTTGGCATGGCTGCGAGAGGTCGACGAACCGCCTTCGGTGGCGCCATTCGTCTTCCCCTTGCCCGTGTGAGTAGAGGCAGACGCTTCGTGCTTGTTATGGCTGCGGGCGTGGCGCCCCGAATCAGCAACAGGGGTATCCGCAAGAGCTGCAGGGGCGGGTGACGTCCGTCTTCGAGATGTGCGACTTCTCTTGCGTTTGGGCGCAACGGAATCCGAGATCAAGTTTGCGGCCGCTAGTGCCTCGGCCGCCTTGGAGATAGCGTTTGGCGTGTGGACAATCGGTTCTGCAATCGTAGTTGCACCTTCGGAAGTTTCAGGGGGCCGGGCAGCCTTCCTTCGCGCATCGGGTCGCTTCCCAGAGGAGAACACGAGTTCAGGGAGGTCAACGTCCATGGGAACTTCATCCGTCGATCTTCCGGCATGTCGAGCGGCTCTTGACCTATTCCGCGCGGGGGCAGGGGTTCGGGAGACTGCGGTACGACGGGGCCTTGTGGGCCTCACTGACGATGGTCCTTCGATGGCTGGGCTGACAGTCGCCAGGCTCAATTCATTGGGGTCCCCCTATATACGATATGAGGTGGCTGCATTTTTATAGTATGTGTTACTCACAGATAGGGTGCCGTATTCTCGCTTGATCCGCGTCTGGGAGGTGGCAGCACCTGCCTGCGGTATCTCCCGAGGGAGGCTACTAGAGTTACTACCCGTTTGACCGTCGCTCGCCGAAGAGATATTCTGTAAACGAAGGCCACACAATAGCTAAATCACACTTGAGACCGCGCGTACATAGCGTCATGAGATTAAGCTCACCTCCGCAAACCGCACGTCGTCCAAGGTGTACAGTGAGGAGTCCGCAGATATAGATAGAGGTGGTATGCTCTCGTCGTCGAGCGAGCTCAATGATGTGAGTGGCGACGACATTCTGCTCGAATCTTCAACCTCGCGACTGCATAACACGTTAGGACTGGATTCAAGTACTGTTTGCATGCGACTCACGACGCCTCAGAGTACCCGCCCTGGTTCTTGGATATTTTATCCCAGAAGTCAAGTGTGATGATCCTCTCCGGAACTCGATACCGACGGCCATTGATCAGGACCTCGTCAACGTTCAACTTGGGTGGCACGACGACGGGGGCTGGGGCTGCTTCGGTGCCGGTGATCTCTATGATGCCGTTGTTCCACTGGCGAGGCTTAGTGATCTCGATAGGTGTTGCGTTGGCTCGGGGTATGCGACGTTTAGGTAGCTAGGACGATGATGAAGATGACACAGTGAGTATTTGGTGAGTACTGGTGGATATATAACACACCAGTATCCGTTCCGCATGATTAGGGCACATCCACTTCTTGTTCCAAGGTGGCATAAAGACCAAGGGCGGGTTAAGACAGTCGAGGTGCCAGTGAAGCTGGCAATAGTCGCACGAGATAACAGCCCTCCCAGCGCTGTAGTTGCTGCTACCGCTAGACGTTGCTCGCCTTGCTCGCTTTGCAGTGGGAGAATCGGCGGCTAAGTCTGGGGGAAGCGCAGAGGTGCCGCATTGATAGCAGAGGACAGGGTCGCCATTGCGATCCTTGAGCCTGTATGGATCGCGGTCCTCCAATTGACCATGACGGCTGCAAGAGCATTAGATGGGTGTGGTGGTCGAGAGCATCATGTGGAGACATACTTTAGTCGAGCTTGCTTGACTTCGGAGGTGTCCAAGTACGAACCCCTTATACTACTACCCACTATATGCGCATTGTGGGTTGAGTGAAGGAGAGAGAGGGATTCCAGCTATGTGTGGCTCACCGTCTTTAAAGAACGTCCGGAGTTCTTGTGGTAATTGAAACTCTGAAGGTATCCTGGAGCTCAGCTCGTGAACGAGAGGCCCCATGAACTTGAGGGATGCAGGTGGCTTCGGTGGCGGTCGCTATCCGGCCGCCCTGAGTCATGACGATGCGCACGATTATAGAAGATCTCTCACCTGCTCAAGGGCACACGCGGGGCAAAACCACCGTTCGCCCTCTGGCAGGTCTGCTGACTCCATCGGAGGGTCGAGACACCACAGATGAAAGGCGCGGGGACACCCATCGCAATAGACAAGAGAGCCAAATGAACGGCAGGCAGAGCAGTGGTCTTCGTTGGACTGAACAGCAGTTGAGGATGGGGAGAGACGAGTTATAGGTTTAAGACTCACCAGTGACGGGACCACCTCGTTGCCCAGCGACACCATGGTCGGCTCCTCCTTCACTTTAACCACAGGGTCCCTCTCCCGCTCCTTTCCCTTTCCATTCTCCTTCACGGGACGACCTCGACCACGCTTGATGGGTGGTGCAGTTTCCGGAGGGGAGTCTTCAGCATGCGCAGTCGTCGCTCGAGACATGATAGCGTCGTCCGAGTCCAAAGGCAACAAGAGCGGGTCGTAGTCTGGCGGAAGTTGCGATGACGAGGCAGCGATTTCAGGCGCCGTGATTGGGTCGGACATGGGACCAGCGGCGGAGAGGTTACGAGCTGAAGCACGTTGGGATCGATTCCGCTCGCTACTGCTGACGTGTGCCCGAGGGAACGCGAGAGTAGTGCCGATAAAGCGAAAGAGCAAGGGTTCGATATGCCATGGAAAATGACCGGGTTCCGGGTGAGTATCTCGACGCATACATGCAAATTGTCCGACGACGCACCCTTTGTCCAGTCGAGCCCGTTTCCGCCGTGACCCATCCATGTCGATGGGGGCAGCAGGGAGGATGTTTGCGAGATGGTTCGGATAAGTTGTGCCAGGGTCGGAAGCGGGCAAATACGAGAGTGCGAGGGAGGTCTTTTTGTGGTCTTTCCTCGGGAGACCAACCTGCTGGATAGAACCTAGAGGCGGGGGACCAGGCAATATCTCCGTGGCGAACGACGGGTCGCCTTCCAGATGTGGGGGTTGCGAGACCGAGACTCCTGGGTGCAAGTACGCGGGTACACTCTCAACGGACGCCATCTCCAGGCGGTTTCGGCTGAGGTGTGAGAGACGAGATCAAGAGAGCGAGCTGCGCAAATAGGTGGTCGCGCTTTCTAGCCGAGATGGTCGACTTCAAGATACCTCAGGAGACTCGCGGAGACAACGTCCGTGGCGATGATGGGGGTAAGCGACAAAGTCCGTCCAGCCATTTTCGATCCTCTATGCTACGGTAGCTACATCCTATGCCCTTCATATCGTCCCTCTATACATTATAGTTCTCTCCGCCCCCGTAGCCCACAACATCTCCTCGAATGTGGCGGCAACCTCCGCGTCCGACAAAATCAAAGGTCGTCCTATACAATTCGACGATGCTCGAGATCTCAATGTCGGTGAGCGCGTCGTGATTCCGTAGTCGCGTCCATAACATGGCTAGCAAGGTGTATTCCGACAGTCTCCGCATGAGAGAAAGCATCCTACAATTAAAACGATTGAGTGATTAGTCTATTTCTTCTTATACTAGCAAATAAGCGACGAACCTGATACATAATACTACTACGACATAGGAGCGCAGCGCTCTGAGTACCGTATGGAAGCTCGACATATTGTTAGTATGGAGGACGCTTGGACACGCGGCGCTCCATGCCTGTTCCCGAGCGTACTCGCAAAATACATTTTTGAGCGTGAGTTACAAGACCCACTTATACCTTGTGTTCGGAAGGGTGCTTCTAAGCTTCGGCCCGTGTTATGACGACGGGCACAGGTCGAGGCGTGCCATAAAGGCCGAGACCTGCAACGAGTATAGGTTGCATAGGCTTGTGCGTTCCGCCTATGCCTTACGGGCTCTTACGGGGAGATGAGCTTCTTTCCGGTCGTGTGAGCGACGGCCACGGCAGGTTTTGAGCCTGCAATACCGCTGCTATATACTTCATTAGCTTTGAATGCTGTTATGCGGTTGACATCGAATCACGTACTGGCCGCGTCTTAAGAGCTTCGCTAACGCTGTCCGTTGACCCTCCTGTACTTCACCCTTCGTATTACAGCGCAAGCCACGGCTTTATACTGGCTCCAGATGCTGGCCGAGCGCAGGAGAGTGGGCCCAGACTCAGAGGACAGGCACATTGCTGACCGCCAGCGTAACGTTCATGGTCGAGGTTCATGGAGGAGCGGCATCGCGCCGGGAAACGTCGGGAAGGCGGCTGAAGGCGAGACACACGTGCCTCCCCGTCGTTCGTCACCGTGAGCGCTGAGCGCGCCCGCTGTTTGCATGCCTTGCCTCCTCCCAACCTGAGATTAAGCTGCCTATGTAATACCACTGAGGCGTCAACGTCAACGACCGTCGGGGTGCTCACATGCTCATCCCTTGGTCCTGGACAAGGCTTAGGTCGCAGTACGAAGGGAACTACGCAGTATGTGCATTGTCGACATGCTCACCTACCATTGGCTCTTCGTCGATTATTCGAATCAGTCATGGTTTGAACGAATAGCCCGCTATGGCCACAAGCTTGTCGTATAGTGAATTATTCGAAGCACGTACGTCGTCGGCTCAAGGTGGTGCAGTATCCGGATCTATATGACACTGGCGAGTAGGAAATTCGGTCTACATGTGCATGAGCGTTGTCAGCGTGCACCGTGTCATCCATACGTATACCAGAGAGCACTGGGTTAGCTCGAACACGGTCTCTTGACTCGCACCAGGAATAGGAGTACCACTGAGTACCGGCAACAAGATTGGCTGCTTACTGTGACCCGCACACTGGCATCGGTTGAGGCATACGAAATAAGGAGAAGTTCCACCCATTAAACTGCGGTGAGCGGTTCTTTCATATACGAAGGCTGTCGAAGCGTGTGTTCCTGACTTCTTCAGATCCCAGGATTGTCAACCCCAGGCTCACCTGAGACGCTCCCCGGTCCTCACATCAGCACAGTTCTCCGCGTTGTTTGCGTAATTTACAGGGTCAGCGCCGGCGGTCGGCACCCGCACGAGCATGTCCCCGACAAGCTCAACAACGTGCGTGCCACCAGCGTTACTCATTCGCTAGCTCACAAGAGGCGTTCGCCGCCTAGTGCGTCGCAGCATACGCCCCTGGGAACACTCAATATGATCTTGAGCACGTCGCCCGACGTATAAATGGGCTCATGGCGCGAGGTCGATCTGCCATCGCTACGACCTATCCCTTCGCCGTCGCTTGATCAGCTCTGTAACCGCCAACAATGTGGATGAACATCGCACCCTTGTTCACTCTACTGTCGTGTTCTGCGGCGCTGAACGTTCTGCTCACGAACGATGATAGCTGGGCTTCCGCGAACATCCGGTATGTACCAGCGCGACTGCGGTTCAGTTCGCCAGTGCACACCTTGACTATGCCCTTCAGCGCCACTTACACGGCTCTGAAGGCCGACGGTCATAACGTCCTTCTGGTAGGGTAAGGCCTATCCCTCCCCCCGAAGTATGTTCTTGGGGCTGATTTTTTGCTAGTCCCGCTGTCCAGCAGTCAGGCAAAGGCGGGACATTCGTCCTCCCCACGACGGACATCGTTGCTCCTGGAGGAGAGTTCGCTTCGATTCCGGTCGGTGCGCCGTTCTTCGGTCAAGACTCCCAAAACCCGAACCTATGTGGGTACCATGCGATCCATTCGCAGACATCAAGCAGAGTCATATGCTCATAAACTCTCCTAAGTTTACTTTAATGGCACCCCGGCGGCCACGGTGAGGAGCCTCACTCACTTCCGATACGACCGAACCTAATGTAATGACGTCGGGTGACCTAGGTCGTGTTCGGCATTGATATTATCGCTCCCAAGCACTTCGGAAGCAGTCCCGTCGACCTGGTAGTGTCCGGTCCAAACGAAGGCCAGAACAACGGTCCGTTCTTGTATACACTTAGCGGCACCATCGGCGCTACGTACACTGCCGTCGAACGCGGGGTGAGATCTATTCTAGTACCTGTAGAAGATAAGAAGCTGACTTGCGCTTCCTAACCACAGATTCCTGCTATTGCCTTCTCTGCCGGAAACTCTACTCATCGTTCGTTCACTACGAACACTAACGAGACGAGCGATCCCGCCAACCTCGCTGCCAAGGTATGTCCTGTGTTCAATTGCGTTACAGAGCATATGAGCTCATACATTCACTTCGTAGGTCGTGGCCGACCTTGTTCGCGCACTGTCCGACAAGGTGAACGTCACCCAGGAGCGCCTGCTTCCTCTAGGCATCGGACTCACGTCAGTGGCTCGTACTTGTGTTGCTCGTATGTTCCGTCTTACACATGTCCACAGCGTCAATATCCCTACCTTCGGCCCTAGTAGCAACTGCAGCGCGGTGCGTACGCATGAGTGTCCCCTTTCTCTCTCAACTAAGATTCCAGTGTAGCCTCCGTTTACCTTCACTCGTCTTACGGGCGGGGCAACCGTGAACCAGATCACCTTGGACCCGAACACAGGCTTCCCTGTGTCTAACGACCTGTAATAAGCCACCATTCCTGTTTCTTATGCGTATTCTGACATGATTATTCTTCAGGGAGGCTCGCGGGATCAACGCCAACATCAACGGGATTCGCGAGGACCCCGGTACGTTCAGTTGCCTGGTCACCGGTGTTGCCCGCTGACGGAAGAGGACATAGGTGAGACGCCGACTAGCGCTGAATGTGAGACTGCCGTCAGTATCTTTGCGGTTGACTACGATGCTCCGGAACGCATCGCTCGCCCTATCCAAAAGCGCCTCCGGCGGAACATCCGTTCTGACCATCTGCTTTGAGTTCGGTGACCAGAGCGCGTTGAGATGTCATGTAGTCACTTAGGGCGTACGTTGTTTGTTGATGAATACGTATGATGACACGAGTGGTTGGGTATCTATCATTCTGCCTTAGTTGTTCATGTAGGTGTGGATGCATGAAAAAAATCCTTCACTCAGGTGTTGAGTATACTCCCGCCGGGACTCGAACCCGGAACCTTCAGATTGTGCCCACGGATCAGTTGAACGAGCTATAGGAATCTGATATCATAGCCATTAGACGACGAGAGCATGACAATCGTTGCAGACCGAGTAACACGCTGGTATAGTTATCGAGGCGTTGAGTAGAATTTGTGGGCAGTTGCCTTTTTGAGCCAGTCAAGAGAGAGCGCGATCGACCAAACAGGCACAAACAACGCGTTCGACATGGCCAACACCACCGTACGCGGCGCGACCGCCATCCATGGCCAGAACCCTCAGGTATGCTGCTCGCCGTCACACAGATGGAAGACATTCAAAGCTGAATTGATAGTACCTAGTCGAATCTGTCATCCGCAACCGCATATATGAGTCGGTCTTCTGGAAGGAGCATTGTTTCGCGCTGACTGGTATGTCTGAACGTCCTTCCGTGTTACGTTACATGCTCACCAGCCCCGGGATCATAGCGGAAACTATTATCGACAAGACGATAGAGCTCAAGTCAATTGGCGGCGTCTATGGCAACCAGAAGCCAACAGAATTCCTCTGCTTGCTGTTGAAGCTCCTACAAATCCAACCGGAGAAGGAGATATTACTGGAGTATCTACAAGCGGATGAGTTCAAGTACGTCCCATGGCATGATAGGGAAGCTACGATACTCACAGTATAAACCCAGGTATCTGCGCGCCCTGGCGGCCTTCTATATACGAATGACGTTCCGACCGGCCGACGTCTATGAAGTCCTCGAACCATTACTCAAGGACTATCGGAAGATACGATATCGAGGAATGGGTGAGTCCTACTATATTGGTCTCGTTCGACATCATTTTGTTCATCCTCATTCAGGCGGTTACTCTATCGTTCACATGGACGAATTCATCGACCAACTACTGAACGAGGAGCGTGTATGCGATCTCATCCTACCCCGGCTCACAAAGCGCGACGTCCTCGAGGAGCTCGATGAGATAGGCCCGAGGAAAAGTCGCTTGCTGGACGCTATGGAGGGTAAAAGCGAGCACGGCAGCCAGAAGAGCCGCAGTAGGAGTCGGAGCAGCGACCGAAGCGGGGGATCGCGGAGTCCAAGTGGCACTCGGAATCGTTCTGCTTCAGGGAGCCCAGGTAGAGGCCGCAGTCTCAGTCGGGGGAGCAAGTCGCCCTCGCCTGCTGGGTCGCGGTATGTTTCTCGTAGCCGAAGCCGCTCTCGATCTGGGTCTGGCTCCCCGTACCGGTCGCGCAGTCGCAGCATCTCTCCCGACCGTCTCAATGGTTCGGCGGGCGGTTCACCAGCGCGGTTCCGTTCACGTAGTCGCAGCATCTCTCCTGACCGTATGGACACTACGGGCTGATCTTCTCATCCACCAACAGACTGCATGTACCTATTATTGCGCGAATGCATCGCATGACTATTCAAATGTCCTCGTTTACCCTTTCTTTGTGTAGTAGTCCGATGCACTGAATGCCTCCTGCACCCTGCTCGATGTTGCATCCTGTGGCAATGCTGGGTTACAATGTCGGGCTACAGGTCGTTTGTTGCCGGGAGTGTCAAGCTAAGTACTTCTATCGAGAATCTCGAAGCCATTGTTATATTCGGGTAGTCGCATTTTGTGTAGCCCTGCTTCGCATGTGTACTTTCAAAGAAAGACAACGTTCTGTAACGATCACTGAGAACGCTCAAAGTCGGACTTACTAGGCGCTCGATGATGTAGTCCTTGTACCAGCAACTTGTTTAAGCATAGGCATCGACGTCGACCGTGAATGCTCTTCAACGTCAGTATCGTTACTCGCCCTCGCAAATATACCCGCACAGATTACTAACGATCATCGTACAACTCTTGTAGGCCGGCTGGCTCACCAGATTGCTCAGGAGACCCAAGGGACTCGCCATGTCCTCCAAACCAATCGTGGTCATATGCGGAACCACGGGCGTCGGCAAATCAAAGCTCGGTATCGAGCTAGCCTTGTCTATGCTCCGGGGGAGTGATAAACACCCCTACCGCGGCGCGAGGATCATCAATGCGGACTCCATGCAGGTATACGTCGGGATGGACGTCATCACAAACAAGGTCCCGCTCGAAGAGCGTGTCGGAGTAGACCATCTCCTCATGGACTACAAGCAGCCTGGAGAACAGCTCACAGGCCCAGAATGGATCAAGGATGCTATGCAGGCGGTATGAAAATGCTAGTCTCTGCGTAGACTACGTCGCTCATACAAGCGAATTGTTGAACAGATTGACGACGCGCATAATGCCAACCAAATCCCGATCGTGGTTGGCGGGACATCATACTGGATACAGCACCTCATCTTCCCGGAGCGCATGGCCTCGCTCGACAGGTCTGAGAACGCCCCTGGACAAAAGGAACTCTCTTCTCTACCATCGGACAATTTCAAGAACGCGCTTGGTGCATTACCACCGGAATTACTCGATCTCTTCAACAACCTTCCCGAGCACGCTCCGCGCGCGGATGATGATATTGAGATCTCACATAGGCTGCACGACCTTCTCATGGCGCTCGATCCTCTTGTCGCACAGCGGTGGCATTGGCGGGACACGCGGAAGGTGCTCACGAATCTCCGCGTCATCCAAGAGAACCGGCGACTTGCGAGCGAAGTTATCAGGGAACAGTCAAAGGCCATCCCAAAACCGAGGTACCTTTACACTGCCAGTTGCACCCGGCCCTTTTCTTAACATCACATCACGGCAGATATCGGACGCTGTGCTACTGGCTGTATGCAAAGCCAGTTGTATTGAAGCCCCGCCTTGACGAGCGAGTTGACCAGATGATTGAGGTGCGACAGAACCAAGTTCTATACCCTTGATATCGGACTGCTCACAAATATACCATGGCGCAGTAGCAAGGCCTCCTGAACGAGCTACGCACACTGAGAGCCATTGCCTCTGCCGCGACCAAAGACAACGTGCCACCGCCGGTCAGCGACTCCGCAACTCCCGGAGAGGAGCGGCGCATGGATTACACGCTCGGTATATACCAAGCTATCGGTGACTATTACTCACTGAACGCGACTTTACCTGCTTGTCTGACCGAGCTGCAAAGGGTACAAGGAGTTCCACGACTATTTGAGCGCACCGGAGCCCTCCGAACCGGCATTCCAGGAAGCCGTCGAAGAGATGAAGTTGGGCACAAGGCGATACGCTAAACGGCAAGTAACATGGATACGCAACAAGCTTTTACCTGCCGTCAGTGCTGCGAACGCTGCAAGCCAAGCTGAAGGCGAAACGCCGAGGGTCTCGGCGTACTTGCTGGACGCCACAGGCGAGTCGATTATTGGCCTGTGCACCACTGGATGATTGACCTATTGGCATTCAGAATTAGGAGACGCGTGGAAGACGAACGTGCTCGATGTCGCGGACGGCATTACAATGAGTGCGCACAGTCATGTCCCATCGCACGTTCCCCCTAAGTGACGCTGTTCTTAGGATTTCTCGCCGAGGAGCCCCTTCCAGATCCGCCGTCCCTCTCGCCCACAGCTGCCGAGATGCTCGTGGTGCGCGACCGACCCACAGAGTATGTTGTCTTTTCCTTCGGCCTAAAGCGTTTCTGATCAGTATCGCCGGCAGTCCCGTTGCAGTGCTTACCGCTAACCAGCGGAAAGTGTGCGAGATTTGCACGACCGATCCTGAGCAACCCTTCATGGTGGACGGAGGTGTGTGGGAGACGCATCTACGCAGCAAAAACCATCGGTACATGAGGGGTGAGCTCAGGAAGGGGACTTGTCATCCCGCAGGAGCACGTCAGGGAACCGGGCATGAAGTTACGAAGAGCGAGGCGGATACGTCCAAGGTGTAGCCGCACTCTCGTATCTATACCTACTGCACACAAAGTAGCTTTTTGACGTCCTGACAGTATCGTGGGTTGATCAAGAAGCACGCCCGGGGGTGTCTAGTGCAACGTCGTTTATATTATCTTACAAGGAGGTGATCTCGTCTCGGTTAACGACCACGGTATTGTGTATATTGTGACAGGCGTTGGAAGTATTGGAACGGGGCCAAGAAAATACGTTCTTCGGTATGAAAGTCCAGAAACAGAAGTTATACCCAACTCGCGGGATCGAAGGCGTAACGTCTACTCCTCGTCCGCCCAGAGGGGCAGCCACTCCTCCCAGCCAGCCCACTCATCCTCCTCGGGCCCGGCGAAGTCGCCGAAGCGCGGAGCCTCCTCACCCTCCTTCGGCGCCCCAGGGAGGTTGTGCGGGTGCGCGCCCTTGTGGCGCGGGTTGAAGAGCTTGTCCACGACGTGCAGCACGCCGTTGCGCGTCGGGATGTCCGACAGCGCGACGCGCGTGCCGTGCGCGAACGTGACCGTCTGGTAGAACGTGCGCGCGTGGCCGGGGATGGGGATCGTGTGCGCGAACTGGACGACGTGCACGTTCAGCGAGTGGTTGCTGTTCAGCGTCGGGACGGTGATGTTGCGGCTGTAAGAGACCGTGGGCGGGTGCAGGCCCGGGGCGCCGTGGGGACCATCTCTTGGGGGCGGGGGAGGGAATTCAGGGCGGTGTTCGAAGGGAGGGTGGTGCGGCGGGGGAGGGGGGCCGTGCTCGAAGGGAGGGTGGTGGGGACCGTGCTCGAAGGGAGGAGGGCCATGCTCGAAAGGAGGAGGGCCATGCTCGAAGGGAGGGGGGCCGTGCCCGAAGGGAGGGTAGCGGGGAGAAGCAGGAGGCGGGCTCGGACCGTGTCCAGGGAAGTGAGGGCCATCCTCGGGGAAGTCAGGCGGGGGAGGAGGCGGGGGGAAACCATGCCCGTGTTCGAAGGGAGGGTGATGGGGAGGAGGCGGCGGAGGGTGAGGACCGTGCTCCGGGAAGTGAGGCGGAGGAGGAGGCGGCGGGAAGTCATGGCCATGCTCGAAGGGAGGGTGGTGGGGACCATGCTCGAAGGGGGGAGGGCCATGCTCGAAGGGTAGGTGGCGGGGGCCATCCTCCGGGAAATGAGACGGAGGGAAACGGGGGTCATGCTCGAAGGGAGGGTGATGAGGCGGCGGCGGGGGACCGTGCTCGGGGAAATGAGGACCATGCTCGGGGAAGTAAGGTGGGAAATGACCCGGGCCTTCTTCGTACGGGTGGCCGTGATGAGGAGGGGGAGGAGGCGGGGGCGGGTGGAAGTGGTAGTGGTAGTGAACCTCCGGGGGCGGCGGCCCGTGGTGGTGGTGAGGGTGGGGGTGAGGCCCGTGCTCGAAAGGAGGCGGGGGAGGTCCGTGGTGATGATGGGGGTGCGGGCCGTGCTCGAAGGGAGGGGGCGGCGGCGGCGGAAGCGGGCCATGTTCATGGGACGGGTGCGGGTGCGGGAAGCGACCGCCATGCTCGAAGGGAGGAGGGCGCGGCGCCCAAGGGTCGTGAGGGCCCTCACCGTGGTGGGGAGGGGGCGGAGGGCCGCTATGCGGCCACTGTCCCTCAGGTCGCGGGGAACGATGACGCTCCCGGCGGTCGTCGGTAGGCTCAGGCCAGAAGCCTTCCGGCCTGCTTGACTGGCACGAGTTGCACCGTACCGCACCAGGGAATTTTCCTGTGCGGATATTCCCGTATTGAGTCCCGTCAGCAGCGTGAGCGGGGGCTAGGATGTCGTCACGGTTGTCCTGGCTGGCCAGACCGCCGAAGATGTCCCAGTCCATATCCTCGGTCCATGCACGACGTACGGGAGCAGCATCAGACTCGGATGCGTTGTGCAGGTAGTCTGTATGTGAACATTAGACTATGATTATGGCTTAGTGCGAGGGACAGACTCACCGGCATGGAGGACGAGCTCAGGAACAATGTGGAACTGCAGCAGCTTCTTGAGCACCCTCTCGCCGAGCGGCGAGAAGAGGAAGAACTTTAGCTTCCCCGGCAGGCTAGAGAACGCGCGGTTCGTGGGCGCGAAGAACGTCACTGCGGGCGAGCCGTCCACGGTGTATTTTCCGTCGGATCCAGGTACCTCGCGCCATTCTACGGCATCGCTCAGACCTGTGCGTTGCAGAGCAGAGGTCTACACGAGATTGTATGAGTAACGGCGCAGAACGTGCACAGGAATTCTACATACCAGAGTGGAGAATGACTGCGGAAACAGGAAGCCAATCTGGAAGATGGACGGAGGGGGCAGGACCGGCTTGCTGACGACATGGATCAAACCTAAGCGGGGAGAGCGTGGTCAGTTATGACCCTCTGCGCTGCGCATATCAAACTATCGCTCACCGTTCGCAGTCTTGATGGACCACAGAATCCTGGAAACGACATTCACGTCCACATGGGGCGAGAAGAGCCCAGGCCCCGAGCCGACACGGATGCGCAGCGCCTCGCCATCCAAGGAGCCGTCAGACAGCGTCAGCGAGGTTGCGTATGTGACGTTCTTCGAGAGCTCTGAGAGAGGGATTGCGGTGGGCAAGGTTTCATACTTGAGGATGGCCTTGAGGATGGCTTTGAGGAACGCCTTCCTGTCTTTGTCGTCCTTGCCTTCTTGGACCTGAACGAGGCCTTCGGCAGCTGCGAGAGCGTCCAGCACGTCATCCTGAACGAAGCCTTCCGTGTCGAGGTGCTCCGGCCCCTTCGGGTGCTTCTTGGGCGGGTGGGGAAGAGCCCAGTTAGGGATTGCGAAGAAAGTGACACTACGGGGAGAGATGCGCGTTAGCTAGTGCTTGCAGGGGATATAAAAAGTAGAGATCGTACTTGGACGAGGTATCATTCAAGGTGTTGGTGACCTCCTCGGTGAAGTTGACTACCTTGAAGAGGCGCGAGAAACTGTGCGTGCGAATGTCAGCGCGCTGAGGACAGGGTAGCGTTAATGACTGCACGTACTCCTTGCGGCTTTCCAGGAACTGGTAGATCGTCAGGTTCTCATAGTTGCCAGGTGCTCCAGGGGGACCAGGTTGTCCAGGAGGGGGGTGGTCAGGGTGGTGGGGAGGAGGATCATCGCGAGGAGGCGGTCCATCAGGGTGGTCCGGCGGGGGATGGTCAGGGTGCTCGGGCGGCGGGTGGCCCGGGAACGGCGACTGAGGAGGACCCGGAGGATGAGGGAACTCCGGGGGATGTTGCGGCTCCTGGGCAGGTTGGCGCTGCATGCCCATGATCCTCTGCGGCATGTCCCAGCTTCCACGCTCGGCGCGCGGGTCCATCTTCGCATCCTCCTGCGTGTAGTAGTATTCGGCGTCGATCGCGTCGGCGTCGGCGTATGCGTACGCCCTCCTGCCTCCCCGGTCCGGGAGCGCAGCGGCGAGCAGCCCGCCATACACGACCGCGAGCACGGCGTGTGACAGCAGCATCCTGGTAGGCGGTCAACAAACGAGAGACAGGGGACGTGGGGCTACGCGCAGCCGCACGGGGGTTTATGTACTCTATGAGGGTGCTAGGCCGAAATGACAGCCGCTCTGGCTCATTTCCGTCGGCGCGGACGGACGCGCAGTCGCTCACTTAGACCGCAGTAAGGGGCGAGGCGCTTGTACTCTGACCCTGACGGCACCGGCGCAAGTGGAAGGCTCGGAGAGGGCCCGAGCCTCGGCCCGCAAGATTGAATCGTCATCCGCAGCAAGGTGGCGAGCATCGAGCAGACCGCAGATAGAGTTGTGTGCTAGCGCTCCTGAACGTTTGCACCATCGCCGACGGATTCAGATGGGCAGCGGGAAGCAGCGGGCGCGATATCCGGAACAAACACGGGTTGTGCCACATCCGATCTCGAGGGGAAGACGAAGGTTAGACTATTTCGAGAACTCAATATACGTACGGTGTGTTCATGTACGAGCTGCGTTGTGTCAGGGAAGTGTAGGAAACTATGCGACATACAAAGCGTGAATGGTTGGGTATCTGTCCGTTTACTCTACCAGCTGCCGGAACTTCTCCTGGATTTCGTTGTGCAACGCGTCCATCTTCTGCTTGATAGGCTCCTTTCCTTGTGACGGCGACTGTGGAGGTTACTTATGAGCACGCCATTGCGTCAGCACATATAAAGATGCCTCACCTCGAACTTCATCTGCGACAGCTTGAACATGAGGTCGCCCGCAGACTCGCGGATCTTTGCGAACGTGACGTCGCCTTGTGCGACCGCGCGCTGGGACGCGTCGTGGAACGCGACGAAGTTGCGCAACATCGCGCTTGTCTTGTAGAACGGGCAGAAGCGGTCGTACTCGCTCATGCCGTTCTGCTGCAGGAAGTCGTCCTTGAGCATGCGCGCGACCTCGAGCGTGATCTTGTCGCCCTCTCCGAGCGCGCTCTTGCCGACCAGCTGCACGATCTCCGCGAGGTCCTCCTCCTTCTGCAAGATCTCCTTCGTCTTCGTGCGCAGCTCGACGAACCCGGGCTCAGTGGTCTCGTAATGCGGCTCCAGCACCTTGGTGTACTTCGAGTACGAGAGCGACCAGTTGACGGAGGGGAAGTGCTTCCGCTGCGCGAGCTTCTTGTCGAGACCCCAGAAGACTTGGACGATGCTGAGCGTAGCCGCAGTGACGGGGTCCGAGAAATCACCTCCGGGGGGAGACACACTGTAAATGATGTCAGTTGCAGACCCATATCAATATCACGCAGTCGACTTACGCGCCGACGATAGAAACGGTTCCTTTCCGGACGGGGTTACCAATACAGGTGACCTTACCAGCACGCTCGTAGAAACTAGCAAGCTTGGTCGCAAGATACGCAGGGTAACCGGAGTCGGCAGGCATCTCCGCAAGACGACCGGAGATTTCACGCAGCGCCTCGGCCCAACGTGAGGTTGAGTCAGCCATCATGGACACGTTGGTGCCCTGGTCACGGAAGTACTCCGCGAGAGTGATACCGGTGTAGATGGACGCTTCACGAGCTGCGACAGGCATGTTGGAGGTGTTTGCGACGAGAGTGGTACGCTTCATGATAGGTTCTTGGCGGTCGCCGACGTCCATAGTAAGTTCGGGGAACTGGAGTAACGTCAGTACATGCAGGAAAGGTACGCTGTAAGATAGTTCTTACGTCCATGAGTACTTCGGCCATCTATGAGATACATCAGAGCGATTCAGCACGCGGAAAGTAGAGGTACACACCTCGTTTCCGCGCTCTCCGCAACCAACGTAAATAATGATGTCGCTGTTCGAGAACTTGGATAGTGCTTGAGAGATGACCGTCTTGCCACAACCGAAGGCACCGGGAATAGCAGTAGTACCACCCTGCACACATCTTTATCGACTTGTCAGCAATGTCATCTCACAGATAAGTAATGAAAACGCACGGGAAAAGGGCATCCAGGATACGCTGACCGGTAAGCAAGGGGAAATCTGCAGTGTGCTTCTCCGCGACTGGTCGGGGTGCACGGACAGGCCAAACTTGCATCATGGTGTGTTTTGTCGTCTTGCCCTCAAACTCAGTCTCTAGCACGATGTCCTAGGTATCATATAGGTATGAGTTCCTTGTCTCTCACTGATGTGGGATGTGACAACTTACATCTACCGCATAGCTGCCCTTCTCAGCAATATGCGTGATGGTACCGAGCCCGCGAGGACCGAGCATGATCTTGTGGTTGTCAACGAGGGAGTTCTCGTACACGCGCCCGAAGATATCACCTCCGGATATGTGGTCCCCGACCTGCGCGGGATACATTCAATGGGTACACTGAGTTGAGGCGCGGCAGCACGCACCTTGTAGTTAACGGGGTTGAAGTCCCACTTCAGGCTCCGGTCAAGAGCCTCAGTGTTAATACCTCTGGGGATATAGATGGATTTGGAAATTTCTTGGATGGACTGCACCAAAGATATGAGAACGCTATCTGCAGTATCTCAGGAGTAGACGTACTCGGAGCGGCCGCTGGATACCATCGACGATGTTCCCCATGAGGCCTGTTCCGTAGTTCAGTAAGGTCATTTCCTAGGGTGCCGTGCGTACGCACCAGGTCCGAGCTCAACACTGAGCGGTTTTCCAGTGCGCAAAACGGGATCGCCGACCGTAACGCCGGACGTCTCCTCGTACACTTGGATCGTCGCCTTATCCGCGTCGATACGGATGACCTCTGTCGTGCATAATCAGCACAGAAGCACCAGCATATATTTGACGCGAACACGCACCGCCGACAAGCTCGTCATGGCCGACACGGACGAGCTCATACATAGCAGCGCCGGTCATGTTCTCCGCGATGACGACAGGGCCGGACACGCCATAGACCTGGCCGAAGCGCGACTCGCGGTCCTCATCTCTGATCCTGCGGATGTCCTTCTTTGCGTTGGGGAGTGCGCCGGCCATGGTGTGTAGCGGGGGGAAGAGAGGGAGGCGCAACGCTTGCGATGCGCACTTGAATGAGGTCAGGGCCGACTGACGCAGTGCACCAAGTCAGGTAGCGCATCGGGCGACTGGCATGGAGTCTGTTCTGTCCCAAAATGGCAGCCGCTACAGTAGACGCTGAAATAGAGCGCTTACGCGTATTGAATGAGAGTGACGCGTCCTCTCGTGTGGACAAGTACGCCTCTGACCAAGCGTGTCTGCTCATCCTACCTTCACCACCATCCACCACCACCGAATTATACGCAATGCCTCCGAAAGCGTGAGTGACATAGGCCTCTACATCTTCTCCACGCTAATTTGGCTGCTGCAGGGATTGGGAGAAGTGTACGTTCCGCTAGCTATGGCACGCACTCTGGTACTGACATCAACTTGAAGGGGAGAAGAAGGACGACAAGGAGGAGAAGGAGATCAAGCGTATGTACTATGCATTCCTCTGCGCATGCTATGACTCACCTCCCACCTAGCCCTTGATGATAGCGACATTCAAATTCTCAAGACATACGTACGTCCACTTGTACCCCCCGGTGTTGCATCCGGCTCATTCGGCTGCAGGGTCAAGGGCCGTATGCCGCGCGTCTCAAGAAGCTCGACCAGGACCTGAAGGAGGTTCAGAAGCGCATAAATGAGAAGCTTGGTACGTTCGCTGCTATGGTGGGTACGTTCGTTGCCTTAATGCCCCCATAGGTGTCAAGGAGTCGGACACTGGTCTTGCGTCGCCCAACCTCTGGGACCTTCCCGCAGACAGACAACGAATGGGAGAAGAGCATCCCCTGCAAGTCGCCCGGTGTACGAAGATCATTGCTGTGGACCCCGACGCGGCGGAGCGCGCTCGCGCCGTCAACCCCGAAGGTGCCGTACAGGGCCAGAAGGGAGCGGACGAGCAAGACAAGTATGTCATCAACATCAAGCAGATTGCGAAGTTCGTCGTCGGCCTTGGCGAGCGCGTCGCGCCCACAGATATCGAGGAGGGTATGCGGGTGGGGTACGTAGTCTGAGCTTCGTACGCGCGTCCACGCTAATATCTCCGCGACGTCAGTGTGGACCGAAACAAGTACCAGATCCAAATCCCCCTGCCTCCCAAGATCGACGCGTCCGTGACGATGATGCAGGTTGAAGAGAAGCCGGACGTCACTTATTCCGACGTTGGTGGCTGCAAGGAGCAAATTGAGAAGCTTCGCGAGGTCGTTGAGACACCTCTGCTTTCGGTACGTAGGTTACTGTGATCACCCGCTTCCTCGTATTCACCTGTCTGTTAGCCCGAACGATTTGTCAACCTCGGTATTGACCCCCCGAAGGGTGTTCTTCTGTTCGGCCCTCCTGGTACCGGCAAGACTCTGTGCGCGCGGGCGGTGGCCAACCGAACAGACGCCACTTTCATCCGTGTTATTGGCTCCGAGCTCGTGCAGAAGTACGTTGGTGAGGGTGCGCGTATGGTTCGGGAGCTGTTCGAGATGGCGCGGAGTAAGAAGGCGTGCATTATCTTCTTCGACGAGGTCGACGCTATTGGTGGTGCGCGGTTCGACGACGGCGCGGGTGGTGACAACGAGGTCCAGCGGACGATGCTGGAGCTCATTAACCAGCTTGACGGTTTCGACCCTCGAGGAAACATCAAGGTGCTCATGGCTACTAACCGGTAAGCCTTGACCAATAATTCATGGCGAAACTCGCCTCACAACGCATGTAGACCGGACACCCTTGACCCCGCATTGTTGCGTCCTGGTCGTTTGGACCGTCGCGTCGAGTTCTCATTACCCGACGCCGAGGGTCGCGCGCACATCCTCCGGATCCACGCACGAAGGTCAGTCCTTCTTGATATAGTCGGAGTCTTATCACAGCTGAACGTGTTGTCCAGCATGAGCGTCGAGCGCAACATCCGGTTTGACCTGATTGCTCGCCTATGTCCGAACACCACGGGCGCGGAGCTGCGCTCGGTGGCCACGGAGGCTGGCATGTTCGCCATCCGTGCAAGGAGAAAGGTCGCGACGGAGCGCGACTTCCTTGACGCCGTCGAGAAGGTCGTTCGCCAAGGCACGAAGTTCTCCAGCACGTACGTCATGTCGTGGGATCCATTACGAGCATTAACTGACGGCTCACTCTCTCTGCAGGCCCTTGTACCAAGTGTATAACTAGATTAATAGTACCGCCTTATGTTTCGTATGTACGCTGTTTTGTTATCGGACACTCGGGTTTGCACCCTGGATCTGTGTATCGTGTGCATGTACGTGAAAGCGGTCGTGAGCGATGTGTGAGCCAGTGGAGGTGCCTTGACAAGTTCCCGGTCGCAAGAGCAGGGAGGCGCACGGAGTCACCTGAGCTTGTCGCGCGACGCGTCTCCGCAAGCTCCGTCCTCACAGAATGGGCCCACCTCCGCTCTCTACCCACCGTCGACGTTCCCTTCGCGCACGTACACGACCTTCGAAATGAGAAGACTGACAGCAGCGGCAAATGCTGCGCGACGAAGGCAACTACCAACTTCCGGAGCGGACTTTCAGCGACTGGGTGGCCTGATTATTCCTCGCCCCCGCCACACCTCTGCTTTCTGTTCCTCTGCTCAGAGACGACATGACTTTCACTTCAACGCGGAGCTCTCAAAGGAGCTCGCGCTCTCCCCAACAGAGCTCTCCCGCCTCATTGAAGAACACGCCAAGCAGCCACCCCGACCCCTCACACTCCGCACCCTGCTCTCGCTCGCTCGCCCGCTCACGCCCGAGTCTGTGCTGAAATCCGTCGAATATGTATTCACGGAGATCCCACGAAGGCTTGCGATGCGTGCGCGCTCGCTAGAGTCGCTCCCGTTTATTGTGGGGATGAACCCGTTCATTGCGCGCACGCTGCAGGCCCACCGGAGGGCGTTCCAGTTCCTCATCAAGCACCCGCCTGTGAAGACGTTGGAGGATAACGCGCGGTTCATTGAGCAGCTCGCAGAGCTCGTGCAGAGCCATGCGAACGACATCCCGGCGATGGCGAAGGGGTGAGTGCTGCTGTTGACTGGAACGTCCGGGGCAGGACGCTGACCGGGTGCGGGCAGCTTCCAGGAGTGCGCGCGGTACCTCACCCCAGAGCAGATCAGCGAGTTCCTGGACAGCACTATCCGCAACCGTATAGCGGTCCGACTCATCGCGGAGCAACACATCGCCATTTCTCGAGACCTCGCACGCGGGGAAAACGGGGAGAGCGGGAGCAGCCACTTGGGCGTGGTGGACCCAATGTGCTCCCCCAAGGAGATGATTGGCGTGTGCGGGTCCTTCGTGAGCGACCTGTGTGAGGCGACGCTCGGCGCGAGCCCACAGATTGTCATCGACGGGGACGCAGACGCCACTTTTGCGTGAGTGCTTCACGGGTGGTTTAATTTGCACTTACGGGCACTAACGAACACCGCGCAGGTATGTCCCCGTACACCTAGAGTACATCCTCACAGAGGTCCTCAAGAACTCCTTCCGCGCGACAGTAGAATGGCACCAGCGCCACCACGCCTACTCGTCCGCCACGCCCATCCCCCCAGTCGTGATCACCATCGCCGCCCCGCCGCACGCCGCCGCCTCGCACCCCGCGCCCGCGCGCTACCTCTCCCTGCGCATCCGCGACCAGGGCGGCGGCGTTCCGCCCGCGAACATGTCCCGCATATTCTCGTACTCGTTCACGACGGCCGGGCGCGGCGCGGAGGGGAGCGGCTCGTCGTGGGACGACGAGGGCATTGGCGGCGGGCCGTACGCTGCGCAGCACATTGGGGGGAGCGCGGCGATCGACGCGGCCGGGGGCTCTGGGGGCGGGCATGGCGGGGGGCTCTTTGCGGAGATGGCGGGGCGCGGGGTGCAGATGGGCATGGGCACCATCGCGGGCCTTGGGTATGGGTTGCCGATGAGCAGGCTGTATGCAAGGTAAGGCTTTCGTTGGGGTGCAGGTGGGTCAGTGTAAATACTGACGTCTGTACAGGTACTTCGGGGGTTCGTTTGACTTTAAGTCGTTGGATGGGTGGGGTACGTGCGCGGTAGCTTGATACGTGTGCTACATCTAACGGTATTCACAGGGAGCGACGTTTTCATCAAGCTACGCTGCTTGGACGACGGCAGAGATATTGAGATATGAGCTCACACTAGTATGTACACTCAAACACGGCCGAGGATCACACAGTATTGGTGCTCTCTTGACGCATGTATAGTCGTGACAACTTCTTGCATTCACTCGATAACCAACCGTAATCACACTACTTAATGGGATGCGAGAGGAAGCACTCGAGTGCCATCGTATTATTGCGGAAGGGACGATGATGCGACGTGAAATAATGGGGGTAACAGGCAGAAACAAATAACAACAGCGCACGACTTGCGGATGAGGAGAGAAGCGTGGATGAGGGATGCGTCAGGGAATAAACTACACGGAACTGAATGGGGTATGAGATAGCAAGGACCAACTAGAACAGACCAGCTCGGAAGGCGTCAGCATACGATAGTAGATATCATGGATAGTTTGCGAGGAGTCGATTAGGGTAGCGGCGGTCCGTTATGGAGGTATCCCGGTCGTGGAATCATCTTGCAGTGGTCTGTTGCGCACGTCAGATGCATGTCCGTGCTTAGGGCTGCGCGAACCGGCTTACCATGGTACGGCTTGAATGGTATGATGATGAGATGGACTGTGCTTGCGACGACCGGTATGACCGCGAAGTGGAGCCCAGGGTATTACCGTGCATGCTCGTCGACTGGCTGGGAGTGGTCGGCACCCCCGACGTCCGGGCACTGCGTGCGGTGAGGGGCGTGGGCGCGCTGATCATGGACTTCTTCGGGGTCTCCGTGACCTTCGTGCTGCGGCTCCCCAGGTTCGACGATGCAGACTGCAGGAGCGCCTTCGCCGTACTTGGTGAGGGGTTGGGGACCTTCGATCGCCTGCCAGCAGTAATGTACGGATGCCGAAGTGCCGCCTGAGGCTTCAGGCGGCGTTCAGGGTCCCAAATGAGGCACTTCGAGATGAAGTCAACGAAGAGGTCGTCGCCGGGGTTCTTCAGCGCCTGCGCCAAGGTTTTGGTGCCAGGGCGTCGCCTCTTGCCCTTCGAGTTGACGACAGGTCGAGGAGCGCCGGTCGTGTCTGCTGATACGGTCAGATGCCGAGTTCTAATCCAGGCGAGACGAGACGTACCGAAGAAGAGCCTTTTGCGTGAGCTGCGGTTAATGAACTCTTTGTCTGGGATCCCCAAAACTTCCATGATGCAAGCAAGCTGTTCTTGCTCGTTCTCACCGGGGAAGATGGGGAAGCCCGTGTACAGCTCCGCCATGATGCAGCCCAAGCTCCACATGTCGATAGCCATATGATAGTTCATGCCGAGGATAACTTCGGGTGACCGGTAGAAACGACTCTGGATGTATGTGTAGACTAGGGCAACTTATCAACATGCGTCCAGGGTAGCTGAGAGACATTAACTCACTTTTCTCGTGTTCGAAACAGCTGCTACCAAAATCGATAACCTTGATGGCGCTCTTGGCAGGATGACGAAGGAGAACGTTCTATGCAGCCTTGTAAGCACACGCGTGCCACCAAGATGATGAATGACGTACCTCAGGCTTCAGATCGCAATGCACGATGCGATGGTGACGCATGAGGGCTAACGACTGCAACATCTGGCTCGTGAAGCGACGGATAAGAGCAGTCGTAAACCCGTGGAAGTTGTTGGCCTTAATCAGCTCGTAGAGGTTGATGCTCAGGAGCTCCATCGCGATGCACAGATGGCCACGGAAGTAGAAGTGCTCCGTCATCTTGATGACATGGTGCTTTTCCTCCGCGTCCTGGCGAATTGTCAGTAACATTGTACGAGGACAGGAACCGATGCGAAACTTACCCATTTCCGCAGGTTGTCGAGGATCTTGATCTCGACCAAAGCCTGGTGGTGGAAGCGCTTCTTGTTGCGAATGATCTTGATAGCCACCGACTCCCCAGTGCCGTGGTCGCGACAGTGGAGTACCTGTCCAAACGAGCCCTTGCCGAGGGTGCCCATAACTTCGTAGCGGAAGGACAGGTGGTCGTGTTCGACCACCAGGTAGTCCCCGCGCTCGTCGTCGTAGCCGTAGTTGTTCGTCGTGTTGTCCAGCGTCGCCATCTTCTTGTCGCTCCGCGCGCCGATGTAAAAGACCTCGTCGCTCTCCAGGATCTCCTTGCGCTCGTACTCGGACAGCCAGCGTATCTGATCGCTGTTCAAGACGGCTGCGGAACAAATGAGCTTACGCTAGTTGAAGGGCATTATAGATTGCGTACCTTGTGGAGACAGTGCAGCGGCGGGCGGTATCGGCTCCGGGAACCGGAGCAGTGCATCGAGATCCTCTTGCTTTGAGCCGGTCTGCAGCTTCTTCGCCTGTTGCCTCTTTATGTACTGCATCATTTCCTCGTCACCCTGTAGCTCCTCCTCATCAACTGAGCTGGGCGCGGGCGACGGCGTGGAGAATGACTGTCTGCTCGTAGACGGAGATCCGATGATCGTCTGCTGGATGCTCGGGGTCGACGACGAGTTGTTGTTGCTCGATCGAGCAGTGGGCAGGGACATCTTCGGGCTGAGGAGCTTGAGACCCTTCGAAGGCGACAATGCCGAGAAGCGGTGGTGGGAGTGACTTTGCTGCGGCTGGTCATGATGGGCAATGGAGGACGTGGACGCGACAGAGCTAGTGGAGGACTTGCGGAGGCCGAACGACATGGACTCGCGGTTCTTGCGGGGGATGGTCGTACCATTGGTCGTCGCGGTCGTAGAAACCTGGCGGGGCACCCGGGAGGTCGTTGACGGAGAGGCCCTGACAGAGTGACGTTGTGTGGAGGGGGTGGCCTTGATGCTCGAGACTTGGTCGTTCTCCAACACGCCAAACTCGTTCATCGTGTCATTCCCACCACTTGGGGAGGCTCCACGCGAAGACGCAAGGCCACTGGACGTGCCCACGATTATGCTCGCGCGCCGACTTCCGCCGTTACCCTTGAGCGTGGGCGAGTTGGCGGCGGACGATCGGCTGGAGATCCTGGGAATCTTGGTGGGAGTTTCCTTCGAGAGCACGCCCGAGGTGTTCAGCGCGGCAATAGGAGGACCCTCCTTGGCGTCGCGCACGACGGGTTGCAGGCTACCACCGACCGAGGGAGAGCCGGCGATGGTCGGAAGCGGTTGGTGGCGGCGGAGAGACGTGTCCGAAAGCTTTTGCATCGAGCTCATGGTCTGTGACGTAGCCCGCGAGCCGGCCCTCACGCTACCGTTCGTTGACGCCAAGGACGACGACGACGAGGTCTTGAGGTTGGCCACACGCTGAGCGGTGGACGGAGGCAGGGCTGACATCTGCATCGGGGGCATGGCTACAGGCTCCGGCTTCTTAGGCGATTGCTGAGTAGAGGATAGGGTCTGCGCAAGAATGTTCCTCAGCCCCTGGAATGGAGACGCGCACGAGGAATGCTACTCACCTTTCCCCTCTTCCTGCCCATCAAGACCGAGATCCTACTCTCGCTGCGATCCTTGTCGTCCTTCCTCTGCTTCTCTCTGTCGGATGAAGAAGCAGCGGTGTCGCGACTGCTCTTCGCGTCGCTTTTCTCTTTGTCCGAATGTAAGCTGCGTCTCGAACTTGAACCTTTCAGCAACGACGGCAGGCCAAGGCTCAACACCGAGGACTTCTTCGCCGATCCAGGCACTACGGGAGACGACAGGCTCGTCTCCTTTGTGGGCGAGAGCGCACTAGGAGCACGCAGGTGAGTTGTCGATTGCGGCCCGGACGAAAGTGTGGGTGAGACGGACGAAGAGGGCACGCTCTGAGGCGGCACTTGCATAGACTGCGAGGACGACCGCCTGAAGAAAGGAATCGACGATGGCGTGAGCCGCTTGGTCGACGGATTGCGGCGAACAGAACCCGAAGGGCTGAGCGGTGCGTTCTGTGGCAGCGGTGGAGGAACGTTGGTGCTCGCGCTTGAAGCAGTCTCAGTGCGGCTCGCCACTAGACGATCCGGCGTCTTGGAAGTAGTGATAGACGGCGGAACAGGGTTACTTGGAGAGCCGGGCACGCGGGCAGAGCCCATAGAAGATAAAGAGGCCAAAGAGGTGGCTGAGGCCATAGCGTCTGAATGAACAGGCGACCAGCCTTCTGTGGAGCGCTTTGGCGCAGGGGACGACAATGGCTTTTCCCTCGACATAGACTTGCGGATCTGCTGCCCGAATGACATTGTCCGCGGGCTCACGGGCATTCCCGGCGACTTGGGCGCAGCCGCATCTCGCATAGACGACGTGGACGGCGTGGACGACAGCTTCTTGCCCAGCGCACCCGAAAAGCTCCATTTCTTGGAGGGTGTCTTGTGAATGTTCGTTGGCGTTGTCGACTTGGGCACCTGGAGGGAGCTGTGTTTGGACGGGGTCGTTGGAAAGGGGGGCACGTCGAGAGTGGAGGGGAAAGTCACGTCATTGAAGGTCTCCCTCCTGCTCCTGTCCGGGACTGGGGCTGGGGCTTCATTATACTCGACAGGAATGGCAATGCCGGGAGACGCCAGAGGCGACTTGAACGTCGAGAGTTCCTTGGGGAGCGGCGGGACTGGCGGGACGTAGCTTTCCTCTCCAGAGTCGACGGGGGCGACATGCGAGGAGGCGCGGTCACGCATGGGCGCCCCTTCACTAGAGTGCCCCACCGAGATGTCGCTGCCTGCACTGTTCCTCCTGGCCTTCCCAGAAGACTGCCGGCCGGATGCTGCGGAGACGGAGGTAGCGCTCGTGGCTACGGACAACGAGGCAGAGTCGCGCGAACTCGTCGCCGGGGTGCTGGCACTGGCATAAGTACCCGAAGAGCTGGAGCCCCGCTTGGGTGTGAAGCTCGACCGAGCACTCGCTGTCCCCGTCTTCTTCGTCGATTTCTCCGGCGGCGGAGAACCATGCTGCATGTCGTCGCCGCTAGTGACGACGTAGTCCGAATCTACGACGCCGTCCGTTGAAAGCCCAAGGCCGATAGTCTGACGGTGAGCACTGTCTCTGGACTTCTCCTTCCCACTGAGCGACGCATGCATGCTGGAACGCTTGCTGCTGCGCCCGCCCTCGATACCTTCCCACTGAGTCGTCGTGGAGGCTTTGGCAGGAGTACTTGGTCGGCTGGAGCTACCGACCCTGCTGTGACCCCCGATGCTAGACCGGGCACGTGCAGTCTTGCTGGACAGCCCGTCCAGCTTCCTGAGCGCCTCCATGGTCGTTTGATCGTCTAAATCGGACCAGCCCTCTTGCGTGCCGCGCAGCAACGAATGGGCGACGTTGTGCGGCAAGTGCGGCTGCGTGTGGAGGGGTGACGATGCGGAACTACTGGTGTTCCCGCCCTGCTTGAGAAACTGCTGGATCGACGACGATGACGGCGACGGAGGAAGGTGTGAGAAGTCGGAGTTGTGCATGCGCCGCGCCAGGAGGGGCTCGCCGTGGCTCGATGACGACGAGCCACCGCCGGAGGTCTGACGCGAATGCCGTACGCTGAGAGACAGCGTGTCCCTCCTGCGCTCCTTGACCTTGTCCTTGGGCGTGACCGGCGCAGGCATACCGACACCCAGGCTCCTGTGCCTCCGGACCTTATCCTTCTCCTTCCCTGTTCCTGGCGTTGCGTTTGAGGAATGCTTCGACACCAGCGCGCCAGTATGGTCCAGCTCAAACTCCTCCGAGGTACGCTTCCTCGCGCGATTCGCAGGAGACGCGAACGCACTGGGTGGTGACGTGTTGTCGGAGGGAGAATCTAACGCAGCAGCCGCTAGAGCCTCGGTGGGGTGAGTAGGCAGCTGGGGAGGTGGCGGGGCGTCATCAGCGTGCAGGTGCGGATGGCGAGGATACAGGATTTCTTCGCCACCACTCTCATCTGCGACTGATCGTCGACTGCGCAGGGGGCGAGTGAGAGGCTTGACATCCATGAGCTGTGGACCCATGGTTCAGTGGTCAGTGGAAAAGGAGCGACGAAGATTTACTGACCTCGTCCTGCTCATCCTGCTCCCCGTCCACAGCCTCAATCGTCCACGGGCTGTCGGGGTGATCCGGTTCCTGAGTATCGTCAAACCCTTCCCCATCTACTCCCTCCTCCTCTTGCACCTCCTCCACATGCTCTTGGGGAACGAATTCGGAGTCGTCGTTACGCGCTCCCCGCGCCCAGCGAGGGGTAGCAAGTTCACCCACCCCGACCAGAGTGCGCCTGTCGATCGCTGCAGGGTCCCTTCCGGGCGTCACAGGATCACGGTGCAGGTAGGAGTGCATTTCGGGAGTCTTGGGTAGGCTGGGGACGGGAGGGATTGGCGACTCGGATGGGCTGTGCACGCCGAAGTAGTAGGGATCGAGAGAGGACGTGGCCGAGGCGGGGCGGTGGCCGTCCGTCTCAGCATCGGTGTGCTGGTCTTCTGCGCCGACGACTTGCAGGAAGGGCTGCTGGACCATCGTCAGTTGAGATCAGCCAACGAGACAAGCGCATGCAAAGCGTGGCTACCTTTCGCGCATCTT